AGGTAACGTTACAAGTGCCTTGGCAGCCTGCTATAATACAAGCAGTTACCGCAGAGGGGAAAAATACATAAAACCGGTACTATGAATACACAATGTGTGATCTCGATTTTCCATCCTTCATTTTCTCGGTATCCTCGTAAAACTACTAAAACTTTTAAGACAGTAAAACTCTTAGGCTATGGAAAGTTTATGGCATCAACTTTTTTGCTCGTATTCTTTTTTCTACTGACCCAGATTATCCTATGTTCTCTCCTCTATTCATGGTTTTTTTCTCACCGAATCGTTTCGAAGTAAAACTATTTTTGATTATCGTTCCATGAAGTATTTCAACATTTAATTAACGGTCAAAAGTATGTATTGGTAATGTGAGCGTAATCAAAAATCACGAATGTACTGCCTGACAAGTGTACATAATCAGTGGATACGACAACAATTTTCTATTAGTTAATCAAACTATCAATAAAACTTACCCGCCGGTGTTTTGTTTGCAGTGTAGAATACAAAATTGGTTTTCTGTTATAATTAGTAGGTATTGACTAAACAAAAGTATTCGAGGTATATACCGATGACCTTTTTCGCCCCTGCGTAAATCGTCTATTATTCAACGTTATACCAATGGAATGAAATAATTATAGTTATAAACAAAACGATTTATTTGTAATATTTTAACAATATTACACTCACTATACGATACGGATATTTATTAGCGTCCAAACCTAGCGAAATTAATATAAATTACACTCGGGCGGCTTAATAATACTAATTATTAAATATTGGTTGGCGTCAAAGTCGGACGTTATTCGAATACATTTGTATACAAATAAATTCACCAACAGAAAACTCACGCGGACGTACACTAATCGCAAATCTCAATATTAAAATAGTATTTAAAATGTACTTATATGAGTGGACTATAACATTGTTATTTGGTATTAATGTATATACTAGATAAACAAAAGCTATACATTAGAAGGCGTGAAAAAAAGACATTTGTACCCAATGGTTTGCTGTGTTGCTTTGGACTAAACGTAAAGGAATACAGTCAGATGGATACAGGTAGCCTATTCGATTTACTAGTACCATTGTTGACTGAGCAAAACTCCGGTAGCGGTATATAACCGTGGCGCAGCATTGCGTTATTACATATTCATGAAAATATGGCGTTACCCGAGTACTCTTGTTGTCTCTGCTCGCCTCTTTTACCGGAGAGACTCGTGGATAGTGTCGTTATAGTATGGCGACATCAGGTGTACCAGAGTATATATTATTTTACATTATTACCTCTATTATTTCTATTCCGCTCTGTTTTTTAATGAAAAACACCAAGGCGGCTGGTTTCATTCCGTCCCCCGGGGAAATATTATCGACAAACATCCGGAAGTGTAAAATATACTAAACGTATAGATTTATTCAAAAGGAAACTACAGTAGATAACATCTGAATGTAAAATCGATCTGCGAACGAATGAACACGAACATATTTTCCAGAAACATAACATTATATCAAAGCGACTAATGCGATAAAACATATATATTTATGTTTGTACTTTAGGTCTAACCATGTGAATTAAAACTTATAATATAATACAATTAAATTATCAAGTCAACTTTTCTTACGATATGCAATCAAATAAAATCCATCGAAACTAGATTTCTGTAGTAATTGAAAATTCTACAGAAAGTAAGCCTACCATACATAAATTATAGTCAAAAGACTAGGCTGTAAAAATGTGCTGAAGAATAGTTATAATTTTGAAATAAATTTCGTTAAGTTGTAAAAAACATAGTATAAAAAAAAACAGCTGAAATGTTGATGAACGATGTATTAATGTGTGCTATCAAAATAAATGTTTTACAACAACTAAAACATTCTCACTTCAGTATTTTTCTTAAAAATGGGTTTAGTACCATCTCATTTATTACTATCATTAAACCAGTGCTCTACATCACTTTGGTGCTATCCCGTTGTCCTTAGTTTCCTGGTACCTATTATTATTTGTTCAGCGAAAAAATCCATCGGTAAAAAATATTTATTTCATAAATCATTTTATACATTAATCGAACAAAACATGGGTTTTATCATAAATCTTACGCACTACAATTTTAACCTTTATTTAAAAAAAAAAAAAAATACTAACTCTTAAAATTAATTAAATAAGCTCGCGTTGAGTAATAAAAAATAAACGCTAGCTAACAAATCCAAAACGATACAATACTGAAAAAAAGTTTTTTTTTTCCCAATGATGTGATTAAAAAGTAACCCCTTTTTTATCGTCACCCTCGTGCAAAAAAAATGATCAAAGTAGTTTTATCCTTGATTATTTATTACTTTCGAGTGAGAAAAATTGTGTACACATAAATGAAGTTTCATATTATAATATTCGATCATAATATATTTTTAACATAATTTTTTCGATTTGCTAAAATTAAATTATAGCTGATAATGTATCATGTTAAATTGGTTAATTTATCAAAATTTTCATTAGTTGACGAAGTAAAAACTTAACTGGATTTACAGGTAAAAATGTAATATTTTCTGGAGTTTTTTTTTTGTCATTTGAAAAAAAAAACTTATCTTCATTGACTTCTAATTTATTTTATTTTTGATAGCAAAACATAAAATATTTTATTGTAGGACTGTGTTGAATAATTGAAAATAAGCTGTTTAAAAGGAAAGTAGTTTAATTTGGTTTAATGGTTTTTAATTAACGGCCGGATCTCACGGTTCACTAAAACACAGTTAATTTATTACGACCCACATGTCGTGTCTGGAATTGGTATATCAATCCTAGTTCGTATTATCAATAACGTACTATCGTATCAATCAGTACTATACACGTCAATAATATAATATATAAAGCTTATATTGTATTTAGTATTTACCATACGAGAAATATGCTCCATACAACCGGTACTAAGTAATTAAAAATAATACAATACAAGCCACAGTAGAATAGTTACAGCCTTGCTTAAATCTTATTTATCAGATTTGCCTAGCCACAAACGAAAATATAATTGTTAATACGAATTTTGAATTTTAACTACAATTTCTACCTGATTACAATACCTAATATCTAATATCTTATTCCAATTATTATTATTTTTTTTTTATTAATTGCTTTTGTGATTACACATTATAGCATTCCAATGAGTTAAACATTATTATTTAATATCTACTACAACCAAGTAAGATACAACAGACAGCAGACTTACTTAAGTGGTAGCTTTATCAATCAGAAATCGTATGTAGTTGGTATTATGATTTATGATAGGTCAAATAAATTCAATAGTATAATTCATTGCTCTTTTAACTCCAAACCGATAAAATCCATAAACAAATGTGCCAGTTTTATTAGTTTCAACTCGACTTTCCATAACATAACTAACTCCACGAAGAACGTTCGAATGGAGTAGAAATCTTAATGGAATATTTATTAAGCGTGTCCCTAACCAAAAATCATCTTAAATCCAAATGTTGTTGAATTTCCTGAATGACAGTATTTAACTTGACTGTCGTTTTCAGCTTTTAGTTGAATACATTACGTTAATTTTACCAAAATATCCTATAATTTGTTATTTTAAAAAAATTATGTTTTATTTTATGTGACTTTCAGTTTAATTATCAAGAATATTTATTTTATTAAACAATTTTTTTTAGAACTCACTTTTAAACATTTCTGACTACACCTGATTCCAGACAAGATTTGTTTGTGACTATCATAATTTTTAAATGTTCATGAAATATACTAACTAATTTTTAGATTTAAAATAACTTTTTATAAACTAAACGCGGGTTTTAAAAAACTAGATGGGTTTTTCATTTAAAAATCGGAAATCGAAAAGGGTTTAAAACCTATGGGAGCGTAAATTTTAAGCCATAAATAAAACGCTCAACTGATATTTATGACAACTAAAAAAAGTTTTAAAAACTCATAAATTCCCAATTAGGTCATAATTTACCGATCATTCGTTGTTATATAATAAGTGTAGGTACCTATTTAATATTTTGAAACAAAAAACTACGTCTCTATACTCCTCAGGTATAGCTTAGCTATATCTGATATTTTATTTTTCTAATAAAAGGCCTAGGTCAAGTTTAACTTAAAACTGAAATTAGTGAATATATTATATAATATTATATTATATGGATTCTTATAACTATCAAGTTAAACATAACACAACAATCGTATAAAAACAAACACTCTCGATAAATGTTTATGTCATGATTGCATGTTTGCATGACAGCAATTTGTTTTTAATATTTTAGGTAGTACTATATGTTTTTGTAAATAGCCATCAAACATTTAGTGTACTAGAGTTGCTAATGTTTATACTTACTTAAGTTGTATCGTAAAAGTGGTACCGTAAAAGTGACTTGTATAGTAGTATATACTAATACAGGTGGTCGATTTAACGTAAGATAGATAGTATACATACTACCCACACGAACATTAATAAATATAAATCATTTTACATTGTGTTTGGGGGGTTTTCGTAATATTTAGAAAACATTTGAAATAGTAATACATGATTTCTTAAAAAACAAACCTCTGTACACTTATTTTTGTTACCTGGTTTTGGGATAGTTATCTTCCTGTAACCTTCATAATTTTATAAATTTCCAAATAACCATATCTTAAATGCAAGATTCAAAAGAAAATTGGCCAAAATAATTTCTAAGTCGGTGTGCGGACAACCATCATATTATACCATATGTTTAACTGCACTAAACTACAGCCAGAGTTAGGCGAAAACAATCCACAGTTAAAATTCAGTAAATACATTTTTACTAGAATAACTAATTAAAAAAAAAACTTTCAATCAAATAAATTACACTGCCGAGCTTTGTTGTGTGTTTATATTAACCATGCACGCTCACACACACACACACCAATGGCTGTCAATTTACTCGTGTGTTTTTGATGGTATAATTGTACTCAGCTAAGAAGTGTTTGCTGTCTAATATTTCTTCCCGCCATAAATAATAAACTGTGCACTTACCTCATCGAATATGAAGTTGTCGATTTCTTCGAGCGGTTTGCCATATAACTCGCTGGGAAAAGGTTCGAATTTACTGGGCAAAACGGATCCGTCGAGCACGCTAGCCTTGTTTTTAGTTTGGTAACCATAACCCGCAGTAGCGGCAGGCACGTGTTGCCTTGTCTCCAACGAATCTTTAGTCAACGGCCGGACCTGTACTTTGGGTTCCGTGGGGCTGGGCGTAAGAGCCTGTTGCCGGCGACTGGCTAACAAAGTGTTGGGCAAACGGATCGGCAACATGGCGAACCGATGGGCTACTTTTGCACTAACCTGTAAGATATATCAAATTAATACAAAACATGTTACCGTACAGATTTAATGTATATGTATATGGTTTTAGTTTTGTGTACCTAATCTTTTTTTATTTGGATTTTTTACTTATCAATATAATTTGTGTTTATATTAAATATTTTTTTTAATGTTTCTATATGTCCTACCTAAAAAAAAATTAATACATGTTTTTACGTGATTTTAGTAAAATGTAGTTTACCTAAATGTAAAGTGAACATGAAAAAAATAATTCAATTTATTAGGTATGTTTTTTTTAATGAGATTACACATATCCGAAATTCAAAACTATCAATTAAATTATTAATGCTCGCGTTATGATATCTGCAGACTGCACAGTTCGGTTCATATAAACAATGAAAACCATAATTTAATTTTTTCAAAATTTAAAATATTTTGTATTGTACGCGAACAATAAACATTACGAAACCGCATAAATTAATAATAACTATTAAAATTACGGTACCCAAATTGGCAAAAATATGTTTTTTATTGGATAAAAAAACTAATAACAGTAAGCATAATATAAAAACAAAATAAATTAATTTAATAAAAGCCATTAAAAATGTTATTCATACTCAAATAACAAAGGGGCGGCATAACCGAGTTCCATTAGGTATTATAGTATTTTTTTTTTAATTTCCATTTTCTGAACAGCCAACTGTCTAAAATATAATATAGCTATTTGCCTTCTTACGGGTCCAGTATTTGTTTGGCCAGTGCGTTATAGGCTGTAATCTCAAGGATTTAAATTAAAGACTGTCCACATTAGGTAAGAGAAAATGCAGACAAAAGGCAACTAATATTCAAACAACTGCACTTTAAGTAAAACTAAGGCTATAGTATTGTAAGTGTGTATTATATATATATATGTGGGTAGGGGAAGTAATTAAAGAAAAATTACCCCCATCTAAGCCCTGATCGATGAAAAAAGGGTAGGAATAATTTCCCGTATTACATTATATATTCCGAGGTAACGGTCATGGAAAATTCGTCACGAATGTTTGAATTGCATGATAGGCCTACAAAATTAACCTGTAAACTTACTTACACTAAGCTCAAATAAACAGTGTAACGTATCTATACGGAGCATCATCGTCTGGCGGATTAAAACGTTAAGACCTCTGTGGTTAAGTGTGCTTGTAATTTGCGACTTAACGGTAATACGTAAACAACGCAATTGTAATAACAGACACATTTTGCCAGCTGACGTTTAGTTCACCCGTAATCTTGGAGGATCCGGTCTGCCGGCACCTGTCTATGGCCAATTGAATGTAAACCATAGGATGTACTTATTGATTATAACGGACATAGTAAGTTGTTAAGTCCATAAATATTGGGGAAAACTTGTTGGACGGATGTCTAAGTGAACCGAAGAAATTAAACGAACACGCTAGGAATAAGTAAACCCGACTTTCTTATTACGCTCAGCGCATATGAAAACAGGGAAAAATATTTGCTTTGCGGCGTTTAAGTATGCAAAGTTAGTACCGATAAAACCTTTGCTTTGACGAGAGTCCTGATGCGGACACAGACGTCCTGAATAATATGCATTTTTTTCGACTTAAAGGTACAAACTTTTATTTCGAGTTTTAATAGTATATTATTAAACTTTAATTTTGTTTGTTTGTCATGAGCCCTAATTCGTTTAATTTATTAGAACCCAATGTCGCAGTTAAGTACTTTTAAACAAAGTACAAACAACGTGGTACAATCGTTTGTATAATATCGTTAAATGACATTTTTATTTTTACTTACTCAGAACTATACTAATTCAGTTAATGTAGATAAAACGTATCTTAAGTGCCAAAATAATGTTTGATTTATACCTAACCCAACAGAACTTACCATAAGTGGTTAATACCGGTTGTTGGCTAAGATGAGGTAAAACCAATTGGACATACTGAACTGTCGATTGAATTATTAATTGTCGAATACTTTTGACAAACACTAATACCACATCAAACGAATGTGGTGACAATTCGATGGCATAGGTGTTTTAAGTTCATTTTTTAGGAAATTGAGACGTGTATAGCAATACATACTTCATACCCACTTTCATACTGTGTACATATTTTGGAAGGCAGAGATTTATTCTTAGAGTACATCATAGTTTATAAAATACAAATAATAATATGATATGGTGTTATATATTTTCAAACGCGGTTCCTGTAGTGCTTTTAAAAATGCACTTGTGACACCTGTGCACTAAGCTATCGCCATATGATATTTATTGGAAATTGAACCGTGTCACCTAAATTACATAGGTAGATTTGAGTGGCTGTAGAAGCAAATGCCTTACTCTCCGTCGAAGGACAGAATATAATTTTGCGTCATCGGTAAAATCCGTTGATAAGTAATTCAAATTTCTGATAATCCAACCTCCTTAAATTCCGATTCAAAAAGAAGGGCAAGGGTTCTTGGATTTTGAAAGCTATTAAACATATATAGTGTGGGGGCTTAAACCACCCACAGTACGATATCGGGAGCTGATACTGTACTATTTGTAATCATATTAAAGTGAATATTTCCATTTTGAAAAGGTGAGTGATTTCGTACAAATCACTTAGTCACACTGGATAGGTTGTGGGTTAGAAAATCTCAAAAGGACGGTGGTGCGCGGTTAATGTACGATGACGTTTGGGCAAATTAACGAACAAAACAAAAAAGGGACCTCGTTCATTTGACGACTTAAAAAATAAAAAGTCCTATAATCCCTTTTGTTTCCTCCGCACTTCCGCCTCTACGATGGCACACCGTGCGGCCAGGGCCAAATTTAAGGAGGTACAGCGGATACAATACTACCGTGTGCGTAATGGTAAATTGTTTGTAGATACGCAGGCCGTAGGTCTGTAATTCAAGGAACATAACAAAATAGTTAATTTTGTTATATAGTAGACGAAGCACAGCCTTAGATTATAGATTTAACCTGACCACGCTAATAACGTATAAATATAAACTCATTTATATTTTATTATAATAATATATCTTAAAATATGTAAAACTTTGAGTACATTTTAAAAGACACATTTATACATAAGTAAAGTTATAAAATTACTGAATACTCAAACTCTTATTTTATCATTCGTAGTTTAATATAAGTTAAAACTAAATATATATGTTATGGAAATAATTTTAAATTATATTCCAAATTTGGTATGTGTATACCGTTTCTAGAAAACATAGCATACAAGTGTTTAAAAAAAACTGTCAAGTATAATACGTTAAATTCTTACAGGGGTGATAGTGGGGGGGGGGGTATTAACACTAAAACGTATAAGAAATAACAAAAGAGCTTATAAAACATTAAAGAAAAAAATGTATTAAAATGGAGAGGGGATCGGAGGGACGGAATAAGGGAGGGGCGGCAAAATTTGGTTATTCCGGCCTGGAAAATTCTAAATGCGGGCGGTACCGCGTGTAATCGTGTAGTTGGAGAACGTACTTTATGTCTGTTGATGTAATATAATCAACAGCAACGGTGACCGGTCACCGCATGTCCGGAGCGACCTCAGACGCACACTTGTGCGCACGCAGTTCCGGGACAGATATCCGACGGGTTCGAAGAACGCGACACTTGTTGTGGCGTTAACTGACGGACGACAAACGAACGAAGAACAACGGCGGAACCAACGGCAGCGACGGCGGCGGCAGAGAAGATGGTCATCAACAAGTAGCGGACGAACGGTGGTGGTGGCGGTGCTGGTGGTTGTTGTTGTGTTGGCGGTGGCGGCGGTGGTAGTGTGAGGACACGACGACGACGGACCGTCTGCCGGCGACGAGTCGCGTGCACGTCGACGAACGCCAAGCGAACGCGCACGACCACCGCACCATGACTACTACTTTACTTTACTATAAACGACCACCACACTATACTATTTATTTGACCGCCATTCTACCACCGCCGTCGCCGCCATCGTAAGGGGCGCGAGAGGAAAATTTGTTACAACCGCCAGACGGCGCGCGCGAGCCCCCACATACTCTTCAGCCGTAGCCCCCTTATATTTTTCTACACGGTTACCGTTCTCTCCCCCGTGTGTATGATATTATGTAGCGGGTGCCGCATACAAGTGCATGCATATTGTATGAGCCTCGGGCGCGATACACCTATAGATACTTAGATGCAGTGGTGGCTTCCGCCAGCCGAGGTAGTTGGTTTTTGTGCTTTTCATACCTTCACCGACGGCTCACGAACGTTTATCATTTTACACTTCGACCTCACGCTCACGGTCGACCGTTTACATTAACTCGCATACAAGAATCCGTTTCCATCCGATTTGTAATTATTTAACATGCACAAGAAAGTCGTCTAATGGTTTTTTTGGACGCGCCGTCGGTTGACAAACGCGACTCGAAGAAAGAAATCCAATGTTTTTTTTTTAAGGTTCCAAAATCAAATATCTTCTAAATGTAGTAACGAAAAACAATTATAGGGTATACGTAATTTGTACGTTTCTAAAAAAATCGACGAATTTCTCCATTTATAACGCTACCAATTTTTTTTTCTATGACCATTTCGAATGACCTACACGTGTTTACGATTGTTTTTAAAAAGTATGACATCCTCTTAAAAGTTTGAATATGACTATTTTTTGAACATTTTTTTATTTATTTTGGTACGTCATAAATAATTGAAGCCCAAACTGTAAGAAGGCTATCTTTTTAAAACTTATTTCCATAATCCGAGTTCTCTACAAGACATCATAATATTTCCCGTATAGTAATTAAAGTCATTTTCACCATCAAAATGTTTATAACTCTAGTAAAAAAATAATGTTCGTTAAAAATTATACTTTGTACCTAGGTAATATACAAACAATGCTAAAAATAAGTTTACATAATCAAAATTTAAAAAATGCACATAGTTTGCGACTTTGAAATTTTTTCGCACCGCAGCCCTTAATACATACAGAACAAATTATACATTGCGAAAGTTGGGTCATTTTCTAAAACAACACCCCAGAACAAAGTTTAATGAGTTCACGCAAAGTGATTGGTTTTTTTCTATAGACTTAATTTGATCTAATCTAAAATTTCAGGAATCGATTTTGTATTACAGTATAAACAAATGCAAATTCCATAGAGGATAAAAAACAATATCATAGATACCCTATAATTGTATAATATAAGACAAATATGAAATGAATTACCTATAATATATCATCACGAAAGCTATTAACAATTATTCGTAGACTATGGAGAATTATGTGTGTAAGGCAACGAGAACGTGTTTAGTTTAAGGAAATTTATGCAATCATAAATTACTAACTTGTTGCACATAATGTTGTTATATTGCATATATTGTTATATTAATTTATTTTTATTTAATTTTAGCTTTAATGCGAAGCTGTAAAAGTATCGACTTTATAGCAATGTAATTTATTTCATTTTAAATGATCTTACCATTTATTCAATCAAAAATCTGAAAAAACGGCTGTTTACACGACCCCCCCCCCCCCTTAAAAATGTGTATCAATAAACACATTATTTTCAAATAGTTATTTGGATATCGAAGTAAAAAAATGACCCGGTTTGTTTTAACGGCTACATTGACCCTTTAATTAGTCGTGATACTTAAAATACCTACTAAATCACCCGATTGTTAAACATTGCCTTTTAACAAATAGCTTTTTCGTAGCTCGTAGGCAGCTGGATTATTGGAAATGGGCATGTAACCGAGTGACCGGCTTTGCGTCATGGGTTCTAATTCGGTGAAACGGGTAATCACAATGTTAGCATCCATAAAGGACGCCTTAACAGCCATAAGCACCATAATAATATTGTCTACGCGACCTTCTAGAAGACCTTAAACCGCAACACTTGTATAATAATAACATTAAATACTCTGCAGATGAACACGAATCCGTTGTACGTGAGCCGTGTACTCCACCACTGTCTAGATAAAGTGGACGCCACAATGTTGATCACTTTGAGTACAATACGCGTCAAGATTATTATCAATTGCTAAAAAATATTTTAAAAAAACCGGTGACCACTTGTTAGTAATTATTATTATTTATTTTGCCTTTTTTGGAATTCATCGTCATGGGCACCGAAACGAATCTTCCGTAAGTTTTCGAAATAGATCCGTAAATATTATCATAATCATTATTATTTCTAAGCACGGACTGTCTTTATGACGTGCACTTTTTTCAAAGATATTCACATTATCCAAAATTGAACATCGTGAATTTGACAAAACGTGGGTTCAGCGAATAATAGAGTTACTGGTATCAATTTTTACATTTTTCTTATGAAAAAAAGTTTTGTATTTCCTATAATTATTTTAATGCCGTGCAATTGTTACCTACACTAAAACTAAAATGTGTTTTACAGCCAATTGTAGGTTTCGATAATGCCTGGGAGGAAGTAATGTGCCCTACCAGGTTGGCAATTACTTAGAAAAACAAATATTAGATAATGTAGTTTTCAATATTATAGCAAACAAGTTGTTTTAAAATAAGAAGTTTGGCCGATTAACTAAAAAAAAACATTTTGAAAGATTTTATTAAGCACTTTTGTATTCTAAAAAATAAAAATAACTACACAGTGTGTAGTATACACAGTGATTATCTGTACTGTGACCTTTCCACTGTGCTACTTTTTTGTGTTTGTTTTTTTTCTAAAACATAACATTAGTTTCGAGTTCCTTTAAAATATCTCAACTTCATAATAGATAATATTTTTCAATTTTTTCTGTGAATTTTGAGTGTTCTGTGAATCTCGAATTGTCGTTTTTTATGTAATTATTTTTTTAGATTTAAGATCTGATATATATCATTTTTATTTTCAACATAAAATACTATTTACACATAATTTCAGAAAATCCCTACTTTTTCCACGAAACTTAAATGTTTTTTAAATATATTTATATAATTCTATTTGGAATTATATTTATTCATTTTTTAAACGTCTGGTGTAAGCCTAAAAGATGGTTTTAGGCTAAGACTCTGACCCTAGATCGTGAAACATAAATACTCTTAACCAGCTTACTGTCTGGGAAAACGTAGTATTTTATTAGAAATTTAAGCTCACCTTAAGTCTGCATACGAAACAGAAAACAAAAATCAAAGCGAATATGAGTTGTAAAGAAGGTTTATTAAAAACACTATATTTAAGTAGAACGATTATTCCAGCGTTGCCTAGATTAGAATTTTAGCATTGAAACACATCTAATAAAGCAGGTTAGTTATTTTACATAGCTTTTGAAGAATACACATCCACAAGTACATTTTGAAAATTGTTTTAATCAACTTATAGTAATTAAATGTTTTAAAATATTTTTATTCCTGCGCTATTTCGCGAAAAAAGTTCTAAAAGTGTGTTAAGCCTTTTTTTAAATTTAATTATACAAATGTAATTAAAATGCTACGAGATTGTATAATAATCCAAAACATTTTTCGCCCGGCCATATTATTTATTTTTCATGCGACCTTTTTTTGTTACTTTCATACTAATAAGTTTATAAGCGTAGGGCGAATTATTCACGTTGCGTGTTTTAATGACATAAGTATAGCTTTGCCTTTGACACGCACGTAGAAAGTAAACACAATAAGTAACGAAGTCGTCAAAGTTTATTTTAGTTATACCGTCACCGAAAAATGCAGAGGACTACTAGTTTTGAATGTTATATTATGTAAATGATAATTCACAATAGGTTTTATTTATACGAAACTTATATACATGTATGTTATTTCAACCAAATTGCCAAAATAAAATCATATAGTTTTATCACATAAATATGTAGTGTTGTATAACTTTCGAGGTCAATTTAAGGGTTGTAAAAAACACAGCTCGCACAGTTTTTAAAAAAAATTATAATAATCCAAAACAAAATGGACAAAATATTTTTTTAATTCAGCCTGGATTTTATTCTGTGGTTTATTAAGAAATAATTAGTGGTTTTTTACTTAAAACTCCTATAAGATTGATAATTGTAAACACAGTATACATAGTCATACTGTGTACTGGATATTCTTTGGATGAGTGGTTACAGCCTCACCAATATATATATATATATATGAAACCAGCCCCCACCAAAAACAAGTTATATTTTTTTCCCGAAGAGGTGGAAACTAACATAGTTGCAAATTAGACTACCTTTAGCAGTAAATTATAAATGCCTCTATACCTTTTACACATTTTTTTTTAGTCTAAACTTGACTTAAAGTTTAAACTAATATCTTGTTTATATGTCACGATTATATATGTAAACATAATACTGAATTTCATAGTGATATATAAATAATTTATTTATATATAATTCATCTATCTTATTACAGAGTACCTACTTACCTAAATAAGTGAGATTCGTTTGGTCCGCAATTTGAGAAATGAATAACCGCTAATACAACAATTACTATTTTGCGATGTTTTAACTTATAGTTATACTTATACTTTTTTAAAAATCACTTACAATAGACTGAATTTTCCGTATGAAACGCGCATTCGGTTGAAAATAGTATGAAGTTTTACCTTAGTGCGGGCTGCCATTGATACCGATAAATATTGGCACTGTATTATATTAGAACAAAGACTACGGTAGACAATGTGGTAGCCTTTTCAATAATAATATACTGAGTCGAGTCCATGCGCTGAATGCGCGTTACACGTCTTCAGGCGATTATTAAAATTCACCGTTATAATAGTCATAGATCAAAGTTCAAACTTACAAATATGTATGATGTATAGATCTATAAATGTATACTGTTGATCTATTTATGAATGATAAATGTTAATGTAATATGGTTAAAAAGGTCAATTTTTAAATATTCGCGGGATTTTCTTTTTGTTAACACTATTGATAAGTAGGCGGTGGATGCTAATCATCGAGATAAAGAATACACTGTATTCTTTATCTCGATGATGCTAATATAAAATGTTGTATACATATGATGACTGATAAGACGGCTGTTTAGTTTTTATAATTTATTTTATAATTTACTTTTTTTAGCAACAGAAATATCTATGTTATTATTTCATATGTTTCGTACTGAAGCATTTAACAGAAAAATATCGACAAATAATTCAGTTCATGGTAATGTCTTTTCCAACTCAAAACGCTAGAGGTAATTATTAGCATTTGTAGTAATTGATTTATATGATACAAACGCGTAATATTTTCGTAAGTACTTCTTGAATTTATTATGATTTTTTTGTTGTTTGTAACTTTTCTTTTACTTGACAAACAATCGGTATCTGACTTATGACCTATGCCTAGTACTTTATTAATAATCGTATTAATGCACATAGGCTGAGGTGGTTACATTTAAACAGTAAATGTTACTTCTTCTTGTAGTTCTATCGTAATGTAAAATTTGTTGAAGGCAGAGAAGGAATGAATTTTTTTTAACCACTAATGTGTATTATAATAATTATTTAACTTAAGTATTGCTTTGAGATGTTTTGCTTATAAAATCTTGATATTTTACAAGACAGCCGATAAGACGGGTGTACAAGTTGATATGAAAATTAAATATGTTGGGATAAATTTAAATCTAATAATAAATAATAACTAAATAGTTTTTTAAACCATTATAATAATCAACAATAATTATAAGATAATCTATTGATTTATAAATAAGTTAAAAATCACTTCATTAATTATTCAAATAATTAAATCAAGGTCTTAAGGTTTATATTTACACACACTTTACATAATATTTCAAGTTATAGAAATTTTAAAAAAATATAGTTAAACATTTAAACAAATAATAAATAAATACTAATGTATTCGTAAATAGTAAATTGTTTGATTGATAATTATTTTATAAATACTTAAATTAAAATGATTGAATAAAAATAACTTTTTATTTATTACTTAAAAAATTATGCAAATAGTGCACAACATTGCTAACCCGCTTAGTTGACTGGACCACTATTTTTTCTGTAGCTTATAAAACATTTTGAATTTATCTTTAATCAAAATTGTGTACTAAAAAAAAATAATAATAAAAGTACATATATACATGTTGTTTTGTATTTTTATATTTATATGTATTTTTTTCCCTTTCAGGCATTCAGAATCGTAAAATTCTTGAAGATTTAGAAATAAAAAAACAGTTGTTGCTTAAAACGGGCGCAGTTCCAACACCACCAACAGTTCTACATTCAACTACTCCGGTATATTATTATAATATAATAATATATTTATATATTAGTTTATTTGATAGTATTGTATAATAATTATATACAGTTTTGTAAGTACAAGTTTATTTTTCCTGGTGTTTTACCAATTGTGTATTTTGTTTTAAAGGGAACATCAGACAGTCATTTCCAACGTACTCAGGTCTTACAATCTACTGGATTTTTCATTACGACAGACTCGGCTTTTGGTAATTCCATACTACCCGTACTGCCTCGTATCGACAAATAGTCTACCAACACTATGGCGTCTATGAAATTAAAAAAGCTCCAATCTGCTCTGGAAGACATTGAAACATTTGAAAACCCGAAAATCGATTTGGAACAGTACAAGACTTCGTCGCACATTGCAGCCTGTATTTTGCACACAGCTCAACATGTGTATGGCGATATTGCCGGTAAAACTGTAGCCGATTTAGGATGCGGTACTGGTGTGTTATGTATTGGAGCCGCTCTCTTGGGTGCTGAATACTGTACAGGTATTACAATACTGTAAAATAACCTTATTTACTACATCAACCAGAGACTAAATTTTAAGAAAAAAAAACAATTAGTTCTACTTACGTTTTTTTTTATTATAGGATTCGACGTAGACCCGTCAGCCTTAGAAAAGAGTGTAGAGAATATCAATTGTCATAATTTATCAAACAAATGTGATTTCATATTGTGCGACGTAAAAAATATTGACAAATTTGTACAAGCCAATTCATTTGACACGGTTATTATGAATCCTCCCTTTGGAACCAGAGTGAAGGGAGCCGATATGATGTTTTTAAAAATGGCTTTACATATGGCTCGTACATCTGTTTATTCATTACATAAAACGAGTACAAGAGCTTATATCAAGAACCAAGCACTGCTTGATTGCCGTGTTTACTCTAAAGTAATTGCTGAACTGAGATTTGATTTGCCGGCATCTTACAAATTTCACAAGAAAGACAGTGTTGATGTTAAAGTGGACTTAGTACGCTTTTCCAAAAATCGCTAATATGTTCCATTTCTACATAATAATATTCGGATTGAATCCGAATTCAACAGTGATAAAAGACATTACTTAAAATAAAAAGATTAACGGTACAATTTTTTTTTTTATTATTGTATAAAAATGCTTGTCTCTATTTAAACTGTTTTGTAATAATAAATTATATTTTCAAAATGTAATAATTACTATCAATTCCATTTTTTTAAACAAAACAATTATTGTGTATTAAATAAAATGGTTAAACTTTATATTTTCCAACTAAATAGTTGTTTTTTATTCAACATTATTAAAATTATAAACATAATCCATAGAAACGTTTAAATTAAATGTCTTTGTTTATAAATCAAACACATAAATATTTTTGTATTATATATTAAACGTATTTAACCGCGTGTAATGCATATGAAATATCAGTCGAATCTGACCAGCTCCAATTATTTGTTAGCGGGTTGTAGCTCAATCCATTTATTGTAATGGTATCACATTTGCCTAAAAAAAAACAATGTAAAACAGTTTTTTATTAGATTATCAATGTTTTATAAATAAATACACAGGGTTTGATTTTAAAAAGCCTGTACAGTCAGGTAAAAAGAAAAAGGTTAATTATATATACAGACACAAAAATAGAAAAAATAAATAAAAAGTCATCATTAAAAATCTAATATCTTCTCGAACCTAAAATTAAAATTAAAGAAAAATTATACAAGACAATGAAAAAGCTGTTGTGATATATAAATATACTTGACAATGTAGTTTAAGTATTCACAAGTACAGTTTTTGTTATTAACTACATTAAAATAATAATTAACGGATCATCATGTAGCTTTAACGGGCCATGAAGACCCAACGTTGCCCTCATGAGATGGTTTCTGGACAAATTTGCTAACCGGAGGATGGTGGCTCGTCTGGTAAAAAGGAGCTACCAACCTCTTCTTCGGTGACAAACTGATGACCCATCACGGATAGTGAATTCGTCTAGAAACCATCTCATGATGGCAGCATTGGGCTTATATCATGATAAAGATTACTTACAGCCAATTTCCAAAATAGATTGCAGTTCGTGCGGACGAATGAATTTTTCCCATTGATGAGTTCCTTTAGGTATAAAACCTAAATGCTCAGCTAGAACTACAACGCCCAACCATGATGCAAAGGTTTTATTTGGTGTAGTCAAAAAAATTGACCCTCCTGGCTATAAAAACAAAGTAGCTGATAAAAAAAAACAGCATACAATATAACTAAACATAAACTTCAGTAGTTGTAATACTTTTAAACATTCAACACAATTTGTTAAAAAAGTTTGTTTGTTCGATATATGTTCTATAACTTCTGATGTTATAACAGCATCGTACTTCCCTTCGTTAGATTTGACGTGATCTTCAATGGGTTCGTTCAAGTACCTAAAAATAATCAAAATCAAATATCTAATACAATATTAATGTTGCGTGAAAAGCATTTGTATTAAATTACGTAAGGTGTTTATTCTTGAGAAAAACAGAATGACTTTTGGCAATTTCAATCAATTCTTTACTGGGATCTATTCCAGTAACACTGCCCTCAAGACGAGCTAAAGCCTAAAACACTTTTATTAGCATAGTCATGCAAATGAATAGTGTAATCTGGGCTTCTTACTTCTGTCAAAATTCCTCCGCCACAACCTACATCAAGTATTTTTAAATTTTTCAAACTATTACGTGTATTTATATTTGAAGAATGAATACTTTTAGTATTTGACAAGCCATTGATTAAAAATGACACCCTATGGAGAAAAATGTAATTAATATGTTTTTTATTCCATATACATGACTATTATACAAATCACCTAAGTGGATTTAACGAATGTAACGCTTTTAAAGGTCCGGTTTTTTCCCACCAGTATTCTTTCATATTAGAATGATGATCCACTTCATAATCATTCACCGTTTCAGCATTGCTATGGATCAAATTTCTGGAAATCATATTTTAATCGTAAATTAATACTCGGTGGAAATTATCAATATAACAAAAAAAACTTTTTACATAGTAAACTAGTTTGATATAATGGTTAATCAATTCATATAACTTATTGTTAGTATATATTTGTTAAAAATTTAGACAACAAAAAAATGACTTTTAGTGACAAATAATTAGATCATAATATTTTTTTGTAATAACTACTCTTAAAACTACTGTGTAAAACAAAGGTAAAATAGAAAAAATTGTATTATTAAGCATTCTTACACATTATAATACCTACACACAAATAAATTAACTACTTTTAGTCCCCAATTTTGGCTTCTTAAAAATAAAAACAAGCAAAATGTGCTACAATACTTTGTGTTAAGAAAGAGCTAACCACAACTGTGTTAAAATCATGTAATAAAATCTACGTAAGTTGGGTGTCTAAACTTGTCATGTTTATTTTAAGTAACTTACTAGCTTTGGAAATAATAAACTATTTACCTTATAATATTTATAGATGCTGTAATTCGAGATTTCTTTGTTAATATGATCATATTGAATCTTCTTTTGGTTTTATAATTATCTTGTATATTATTCTTAAGCTTTATAAATTTTTGTCAACAGATTTAATTATGTACTTAAAAATTTCTATTTCTTTTCTTTATAGAGCTTACTGATAATCAAAATAATGTACTCAGTTATCAAGTATTAGTGATAGTCATTATCATAATTTTGCACAATATAATCTATCGAGGTTTTTTTTCATAATATTTGTTTACTTTTCTTATTTCACAATTCATAATATTTACTGAGGCTCTTTTCCATAATAATTAAACTTTAAACAGAAAAATGTATAAAATATATAATATTTATGTTACGTTTTGTTAGGTTTGGTGTTATTTTTATCCGAAAAAATCTTAATTATTACAAATTGTTATTATCGCTGTATAAGTACAGCTATTGATATTGTGCAGAGTATATATTTTATTAGTACAATAATATTCCTGTATATTAAAAGTATTTGAGTATGATAATTGAAATTTAGGTATTATTTAAACAAATCAGACCTTACACATGTCCGTTTCCATTTGGTATTTTCAGTCCAGCGATAAAACCAAATGTACCTTTTTCTATATTCTAATATAGAAAGAATTGGCATTAGCCATCGAAAATAACCCTAAACTATTATAAATAATTTATTATTTATAACTTAATAATAAACATTTTTTAAATAAAAATGTATTTTATTTTATTACTTGAACATTTATTTAAATAATTTCTATTGTTATTTAACCTTCAAGCAGATGGGTGGTCCTAAAAATCTTGTTGGCGGTCGTCATTAGAAAATTTTGTGAGTTTTTATTTAAACAAGGAATCTAGCAATCAATAGTTTTATAATAACTACAAATGTGTAGATTATAGATATCATCTATTTAGTTTTATTGTATAGTTTTTTTTTAATAAGACAAATGTTGGATAATTGTTGGAAAAAAAAATATACACATTAAAGAGCAAACCACTATCTACCAATATTAAAAAAATTGTTTATACTAGTATAAATAAGCAAAAAAAGCAGTTATAAAATAAATTAGAAAAAGTAACCGTTAAGAAAACTGTGTTACTTAAGACATAATTCATTTAATATATTATTATTAAAATTATTTTATACAAACAATTATATTTTTTGCACTCTATAATAAATAAACTAAACGAATATTTAAACATTGTTAAGTTATTGTTTTTCTCAGCTAATTGTAATAATTTACAAATTATATTTTAACAAATAAGGTAAGGTAATGCAATTCTATGCAAAAGAAATAATATAAAATATAACATTAATCTGACCATTAACATAACAGTACAGTATAAGTTAAGTAATATTTTTACATAATACATTATGCGAGATTAAATTATGTCTAATACACTACTGGGTATAGTGCCTGAAATATTAGAGCTATTTTCACTTGAAAGTTGATCGTCTTTTAGTGTTTTTTTATTTTCCATTCCAGTTTCGTCTTCATCTTCGTTAACACTCAAACTAGCTAATTCTTGCATTAACTCGGGGTCCAATTTTAAGGCCTAATAAATAAATTTTAGAAAAATTTAAATCTCGTTTTTTAAAAGAAAATGAACAAAGTTTTTATCTTACGCCATCGGGATTTAATGTTTCGTATTGATGTTTCAATGTTTGTAACTCGAATACGCTGGAACTGCATGCCGCCTTAAGTTCGTTTAATAAAACAATTTCATTTCGTAAATCGTTGTAATTCTGACAAACTTCTTCGGTTGGAATAGGATTTAGTTCTATACAGACAAATATATAATTAACAGTTTTTATAAATTGACGCTATTCCCTAGATTTAAGTATACATTTAAGTAATACATACTTATTTTTAACGACTGTAGGGCCTGTTCTACATTTTTCACTTTCTTTTGGCTTACGTTTGCGGGTATTTTCATCCGTTGGGATCGCGTAGACACGCCACTATTTTTAATGTCTGGAAATTTTATTGTCGTAGCTTCAAAATTCTAAATAAGATACAAATAATCGTCCATTAGTAAAATACATAATTATAAATATGGGATTATAAATATAATCTCATTTAACTTGTCGTTTGATAAATTGAGCATATATTACAACTTCGTAGTTTTATTTTATTTAATAGTCAAACATTACATTTGGATCAACTCTGGTTGGCCTAACAGTCACTGGAAGTCGTTTGCGATGATGTGGAGTCTTTTTATCACTTTTTAAGCTTTTACGACTTTCATTTTGTTTGTCAACAGCGCTTATTAGTTTCTGTAGATCTTGAGCTTTACGATCTCTTTCCTTTTTTCTCGTCTCAATTTTTCGTAATTCTTGTAGTAACATTTGTTCCTCTTCGATCTAGTTATCAATTATATAGTTATTAAAACACAATATTATTTTCACAAGTTTATTTTAAAAAATACTTATTGAAAACATTTTTTTTACAGATTGTATGTTCTCAATAAGTGATTTAAAAAAAAAGTTTTACTTGTTGAGGAGTTCTGCAATAAAGTCTTTCGAGTTGTTGCTTCCTGCGGGTTTCATGTTCTGCGTCATACATTTTTGTCTCATTAACACTGCCACCTCTTATCTAAAATTTAAATTTAAAAAAAAACTTTTAATTAATAAAATAACAATAATTGAGCAAAAAATAAGTGTATACTTTTTTAACTTACTTTAGTTAATGTATTACACACTGAATAGTATCTATCCTTTAAGTCTTCTGTAGTTCGCTTGACAGCGTTTTCATACTCTCCATAGTTCCACCTTCCTTGAATGACTATGAATCTCAAATCAAAGCGCTCACACATATCGAAGAGACGATCAGTTTCTTCTCGACTCCATGACTCTGATTGTAAGTGATCTTTATATTCACTGTCAGTGTATTTAAGAATTTCAATTTTCTATTGAACCAAAATCATGGCTACCGTTAAATTATATACTTTAAAAAATATACTAATATACTACATTACAAATTCTCAAATACAACATGACGTACATAATCTACATAAATTGTATTTGTTATTAAAGGAAATGATTACAATAAAAGAATTAAGGACATCAAATTAAGTATATATTAAATAATTTGCTTATAAGATAATATACACTTTTTAATTTTATGAATACCTTATTAAATTTAGCAAACGGATATTCTTTGCCCTCATCAGCTACTCTCCGCCAATGATAAAAAGCAACACCATCTTCACGTGCAGGATTTACAAAAGGTGCCCATACCCATGGCCGAACTCGTCGCATACCTAATCGAGCCTTTTGTTGTTTATACGTAGGGCCTAAAATAAAAATAAATAGACATAGGTGGGTTTAGTAATAACTAATAACTCAAATAATTACAGATAAAACAATTAAGAATACTTGCCCGTTTCAGTTTCGATAACCGGCGGTACATCTTTTTTATCATTGTACAACAAGGCAAACACTTCCCTGGCCATCCCTTCAGGACGTCGAGTTTGCCGAGTGGCTGAAGGCAATGATATCTTTTTCTTAGTTTGCGTACCAAGAATCTCATCTTTGGAAACCTGTGGACCGGTGCCACGGTCTATGTCTAAAATATCTCGGATATCTTCCGTCATTTTATAAAATAATATCCTCTCGATCGAATTCAATAATTATTTACACACTTGTCAGTGCACGTCAAATATTATGTAATCAAGAAACTACATTAAAATACAAAAACACCTACTAATTTGGAAACATCTTTGAGGAAATCAATTTATTATTTATTTTATTAACTATTACTGATGAAATATACTCTACACATCACTTGAGAAATAAGACACAATACTCAAGTTCGAAAACTAGTCTCAAAAGGACGCCAAAGCATACTTCTTTAGCTGGTCTCCTTATCGATGGCGACTGCGAACTGGCGTCTGGCGACCGCGGCGACTGCCGGCGTACCTCCATGATACCAGCCACCAGTATACCTGATACCAGCTAACACTACCCGAAAACTATCCAGATCCATGAGTGTGATAACAGTTAATCTTATCAGCTGCTGACAAAACATTACATACTTGGTACCTAAATTATAATTGGTTATGCGAAACATTTTCAAAACAAAAAACGATATCACAATTCACAATTTAAAGTTCCGAATTCCGATACGAATTACTTATTAGTAATTCCGCCTGTTAAATTCAAAATTTATATTAACAATAGTATTATAGTTTATAAATATATAATTTTATAAAATAATATATTGTTATTTGTAGGTTCATCTAACGTTTATTATTGTTAATGTAAAACACACGAGGATTCATACGATTTTATTTAGCTTGATAATTTGTTTTATGTATAATGATAATTTTTTTTACCCGTACAATTTTAATAATTACCAATTTTGCCTCATAATATGTTAATTTAATTATTAATTTATATAACAAGCTATATTTTTACATAATTTTATGATACATTACCTATTTTATTGAAATTGTTGGATAATTTTAATCATGAAAGTCTATTCCTTGGAAAATGGTTTGTATTTGGGAATTTCACATTTTACCGACGTCAAAAATGTAAAATGGCTCAAAGACAATATTTCTAAGTACTTTAAGGACCGATCACCTGTCTTAATTCGTCATTCATTAATTGTCGATCCATTTCAAATTGTAGTTGCAGCTAATAATGCTTGTTCATCTAGCAAACGTTCAACAATGGTCACTAAAACTTTAGCAACAGAAATTTTATTCAATTTGTCAGCCACGAAAAATATAACACAATCTTTGCGTGATTGCAGTGCAGGTGATCAAGATGAAGAATTTTTTGTTGCAATTGTATCTGATTTATGTAACGTACCAGAAATGAAAATATTCAATGAAAAATGCTTGGATGGTAAAGAAAATGACGTTTCAGATATTGATGAAACATTTATTAAGTCTTACTACAACATAAATGAAGAAGAAAGCAACAATTGTAGTATACTTGATTCTGTAGTTACTAGAATTGCATGTAAAAGTTTAATGTAAAATTTATATAAACTGTTTTGTTTTTGTGTGAAAACCATTACATACTCGTAAAATACATAATAATTAAATGTTAAATATATTTTCTTAAAATTTTGACAAAAAGATTACTCTTACAGTTTACTGTAATCAAGTTGTATGTTTTTAATCAGTGAACATATCTTTTAACAAGTAGAGTAGTGATTTTTACGCGTACTGTACAAATCTTTGTCATTTGCTCCAATTTATGTACTTAATGACAACAGGATGGCAGACAATTTTTTCATTTTTTTTTTAATTATAACAATTATATTAATATAGTATTAATTAAAAAGAGCAGAAAATTAAAAAAAAAACTCAAGTAGGTATGACAATTGTGATTTATTCATAGATTTTACGAGTATTAGATAGAGTTAAGAAAGATTTTAAAAATATATTAAGATTACCAAGAACAATTTTTCAAGTATGAATATATCAAATGTTCAATTTTGAATGTACAGAAAACAATATTTAATATTACAAAAAATTGGTTAATGAAAAATTAAAACTGTGTACCATCTTTATATTTAAACCTTAAGCTAGATAAAAACATAAAATGTATTAAAATAAACACAAAGGTAGATATTGGGCTCTGTCACAGAAATTTCTTTTAATCAAGAACAATAATATTTATGAATGTGAAATTAGTGACTATTTGTTTTTTTCTACTCCCCCAAGTTCGTCACTTCTTGGAACTAGGGGGTAGAATCGGTTTGCCACGATCTTTTCCTCTCAATTTTATCTCTGAAACAATATAGTAGAGATAAAATTAAAAAATACAATCACTACAATACAAAGACATCATAGACGGTGTTATATATGCAATGCGTACCCACAATACTGTGTTCAATTAATTGACATGTATGCGTGTACTTGTAACATACACGCATACATAGAAAAGTAGGACATACAGCTAATATTATATACTTACAACTACACCACTGATCATAGAATTAAATAAATATTTTATACAAATTTAAAATGCCATCTTGATTAGCTTATATACAAATATGGATTACTTCTGGTAAATGGATATACTTTTATTTGTTCTTACCCACCCACTCATTCTCATCATTAGTATGCAAAAGTTTGAACTTTAAACTTACCAAGTGCCCTTTCGATTTTGGAAATAATAACCTGATTCGGTATTCCACGACCAGCTTCATATTCTTGAATTACTTGTGGTTTTTCAAATATTTTCTAAATTAAAAATTAAAAAAATATATTAATGAAAAAAATGAAGACAAGCTAGCGGTGACTTACCGTTGCCAGTTGCTTTTGAGATAACCCTTTAGCCAGACGTCCTTGCTGTATAAGACGGCCTAAATCTATCGGGACTTTTTCATGCTTCAATTCCTCAGTTTCTCTATCTAACTTTGCCGTATTTTTTGTTGTAACTTGATGTTTATTTGTAGCAGCACCCCCTAATAGCCAAAATAGAATTATTAAATTTCAGAAAATATAATTTCTTTAGTTTTATGAACAAAAAAAAAACTGTTACTCTATCTATCTTAATATTGTGTTAATACAATTCATTTGAAACATACCAACTCTGATAATGTAATCGCATAAAACAAAACAACTATTAATTGCTCATATATAAAATAAAAATACAAATTTTGAATAGATAAATTGAGTTTTATAATAATATATCCTCCTTGTTCCTATTCACACTAATTACAAAATGTAGGATAATAACATAACAAGTTTAGAATCGATGAGGTCATTGCTGGAACGCATATACTTACATTTGACTTGAGTGTCAATTGTAGCTCCTTCACGTCTTGCTTTGTTAATGGCCTACGATAGAATAAAAAACCAAATAATTATATTAAAAAAAAAAGGTGTATTACTTGTGAACAATCAACATAATAAATGTGAAACATGTTAATAGAAAATATTATATAACGTACCTGCTCAGATTTCATAGTGGATGGCTTTGGGGGCCTTTTCCTCAGAATAGTCACTGTGTTCCAGTCACCCATGTTGAATTAACTTTTAAAGAACAAAAATGTTAATTTAATTCAACAATCAATAAAAATGTATGTGTTAAAATTTAGTGTAATGTAAATGAACACGTAAATTCGTGAAAAAAAAAAGTATATTATTATTATTGTAATACTATATTTACCTAATAGTTATTACGCTGAAATAGTCGTAGTTCACAAATCGCAGCTTTGAGTTTGCAGTGTGGAGTTTAGATTAGTATGGAATTATCGGAAATATATTTGGTGCCTCAAAACTTGTCGGTAGCTGGTATCGGTGTCTCCAAGTCGTACATAAACATATGGTCGAACTGGCCAGACACCAAAGACTCTCTAGGCTTTGAATTTACTTACGCGGGAAAATATAGAAATTACGAATTTATCATGATTTCAAAAAAACATATTATATGATAATTAATAAAAATATAGTTTGTGTTAAACAGAAATTAGAGTATAGACCAGTAATTCAATTAAACATAAATATTAAATCAAATATTTTAATACTAAATTAGACTGAATATCCTGTGGTTATTAGTGCAAAATCAAATTTGATAAAAAAAATTGACAAAGGCAAAATTTAACGAATTTCCCCACTATGGAGTGTAACCTATTAAAAAGGTACGTTTTCTCAAATTTGCCTTTTCTTTTTTGAACACCTAATTTGTTTACACCGATTTTAAACTGAAATAGTTAAGTCTTTCGGGCCAAAAAGTATGATCAATTTTCAGGCTGCTTAAAAATAACTTAAAAGTGCAAAAAAAATAAAATTTTAATAAATCCAGGAAAAACTTATCTTATGAGTATGTGCAACTTGTAAAAACAATAAAAAAAATTTTTTTAGATTATCCCAGTATTATTTGGGCAGTAGTAGTATTATAGTTGATATCTAATATTAGTATGAAATATGTGGACCCTGTCAAAATTAAAAGGCTGTTATAACCCTTTCAAGACCCGAATTTTTTCTGGCTGAAAAAACATTTTGTTTTTATCAATTATTTATTAATGACCACTCATGAGTGAAAAAAATCGGAGGACTTGGGGGGCTATACGCTCTCCACGTGTACCTTGGGACTCCGTGGAACGTAATTTTTAGGTCGGTATTATTATGTAATAACGTGTGTATATTTGTAATAGTTCAAGTTCCCGCCGAAGAGGACTAATACGTTCGTACAAATAGTTATGACGTCATTATTTTCCCTGTGAGACGACTTTACTTACATATTTTTCTCGAGGCGCTAACATAGTGGTGATTTTAAAGAAAAATATAAATATCAACCAAACTCAATTTTCTTGTTAGCCTATGGTAACTATGGTCTATGTCACAAAAAGTTGAAAATATTAATTTAAGACTAAAGATAGTGATGAATTGATATTTTTTTCATACTTATCAGATGTTATTTGTTAGGAACACGATTAACATTTTAACTAATATTAATAGCGTATGCGTATAAAATAATAACTAACAGTGGGTCTGAAAGGGTTAAGGTAACGCCGTAACAGCCGCTTAAGTCTATACTGGCGACTGGCAAACAGGTAGCTGTTATAATTTTTAAACAGTAAATTATATCTTCGCCTTTGGAACTATTCTTAATTCTAGTAAAACGTAATATTGTTCTACCATTATGGAAATTCCTAATACGAACTCATTATAGAGTTTTTTATAAGATGAAATTAAGATATGTTTTTACGTCAATATTTTATAAATCCAATGAGAACTTATCATTGACTATACAGCGTAGAAACCTGTACATTATTGAACAAAAATTGCTTTTTGAATGACGTTACTAATTATTTTTTGAGATGTCTGCTATTGGATTACATAGGTAGCATATAGAGGATCAATACTAATTAAATAATTCTGAAATTGCAGTAAATTTATTTACTACAGGAATTTATTTAATAATTTTATTTTTAATTATCTCCTTGATACTATTGACATTAATACCAAAATATGCTATATTAAATTTATATTCAAATTAAACACTACTGGTTTGTAATTGATACGTTAAAAAAACAATTTTAATCAATAGCTATTGCTGATTATTATTGTACAAGCTAATGTTATATAATAAAATTATTAATCATTATATAACAAACATAGTTACAACATAGACAATGGAAATTATTTTTTTTCGAAAATGTGTTTAATACAGATAGTAAAACTAACTAATAACTACATAATATTATGTTTTTATGTATGAAGCCATATTATGTTGATTATTAAAATTTGTCTTAGTTTTCATTGTTTAAAAAGAATATAGAGCTTGTTAATAATTACTATACACATTGATTCATAATAATAATTATTGAAAAAATATGACCTTTTCAAATATTTGACACATTAAAATCTCACTAATAATAATACAAATTATAAATGGTATATGAATTTATTAATTTTAATAATTATATTTTTGGAATTATTACTTATGTCTTATACATTTTTCATGATTACATGAATTATGAATTCAATCTGATAATGAGACCTATTTTGTAACTCTATTAACTTTAAAATATTACTAAGTAAATTTTTGACATTATTAAATGTTTAAAAACCAAATATAAACAAATAAATTAAGCATATAAAATGAAAAAATAAATAGTAGTATCAAATACAAACTGATAATTATAAATTCCTTGCTTGGTCTAGTTGAGAGTGTAAAGCTAGCATAATAGGTAATGTGTATAAATTTATTTTATTTAGTTTGCACTCTAACACCAGGGCATCCGATTGTACATAAATTAGCTTCATATCCATAAACCTTCAATTCTTGTATACAAGTTTGTATTTTTGACTTATGAACATTTGGAGGAACAAGACATATAGCATAGCCTCCTTTTCCAGCTCCTGTAAGCTTTGCGTGCAAATCAAACTTCTTTAGTATAGCCACAATAGCATCCAGTGTCTCGTGGGATACACCTAACCCCATCAGCAATCCTTGATTCATGCTCATAAGGTTCTAAATAAACATACAAAAAATTATTTAATGGAAAGATAAACTAACATGTTATAAATATAAGTAATATTTTCTTGGGTGATGTAGCAAAAGTTGCACATTACATAATATTAATACATTCACACACTAATAGAGCTAAGTAGTAAAATATTAATTTTTAACTACTTTTAATAAGTAATTTGGAATAAATGTGGCATTTCATAATGTTTAAAACAAATTTTTATTTTTAAATAAGTAAGAAATAGTTTAATTGTTTATAGGGTGTATTATTTAAATTAAATCCAACATTTTCAATTGTACCTAAATTTACATATTAGCTTTTCAATTAAAATAAATTATTCATTATTCTAGATTTTTTTATTATCCATTATTCAGTTATTCATAATTCATTAAATTTATTTATGAATAAAACAAAAAATGTATTAATGAATAAAACAATTAATAGTTTTTAATGACACTCATTCTTTATTTATAATTTGAATAATTGCTGTGCAACTTAGAATTTAAGTAACAAAAAAGTTGCTATAATAATAATGTAACAAGTAAAGTGGCAATTTTTATTTAATTTTAAAAGTAACTTGCTCTTAAGTGATTATTTTAAATGCTTACTTGTAAAACTTGAATTTGTTGAAGTTCTAGATTAGGGTTTTGAGCCATTAAATCAATTGCGCTTGCAGCTGCATTTACAATTTTCGCTATTGAATCGAAAATGGAATCAAGTATAGGTCTATAGGTATTATCGTTGTACTTATTTCTTACACTTTTCACCACATGACCAGTTGATCTTTCAACTCCTTATAGTTTAAAAAATAGGTTTATAGACAATATTAGTATAAAAAATACACATACATTTCCAAAAATTCTAAGCTTACCAGAATATATCAAAAGAATTTTTAGTTCTGGAGCTTCTAAAAGCTTATAACTGTTGAGCTTTGTATACTCGACCATTGTACCGTAAGTGCATATTGTATTATCCAAACCAGAAGCTTTTGAGTGTATGAAATTTTCAGCCAGTAAAGCCCATCTGTTGATTAAGCTTTTTTCCTAGAATTTTTTAAAAAATGATTTCTTATAATGTACTCTATGTTTTATTCTGTAAAATATCAAAATATAAACTAATAACATAAATTTTTACCCCATCACTAAAAGCAAAATTGTCCGTAAATGGTTCTATTATTAATAAGTTGTCTCCGCTTTGAGAATGAAAGTCATCCAACTGTGGATCAAACTGTATTTCTACGTTTGAATTGATTTTAAATTTGACATATGACAAGCATGCTGCGACCAGTGAAACACAATACGAAGCAGAGCTACCAGTTCCAGCTCCTAACTTCAATGCAGTTTTCACTTCGATGGTAAAGGAAACATTTTTCAATTGTTTCATATAACATGTTAGTATTCCTCCAAAAATAAAATGCAATACAACGAGTGTTTTTTTGGTGTTTCCAGACAAAGAATCAATTTCATTTAAGAACGGTTCATTTTTATTCAGTTTATTTATTGTTTCTTTAAAATATGAAGAAGGAGAAAATGATGATTTTTTATCCAAGTGGATAGTCAACATTCCAGAATAATTTATCAGTGGTAATATAATGCGACACGGGACTATATTTGGTTTTTGATTATTGCAAAAATTTTCAGTAAATGCCAGTGAAGTATTCTGATCAATAGCGCACGCGATTGCTGGTTTCCCATAAACGACACTGTGTTCACCAAAAAGAATTATTTTGCCAGGAGCGGTAACTTCAAATTGGATGTTGGAATTCATTTCTTAAAATATATTTAATTTTGAATGGCTAATAAGTAAAATAAGTTGTAGAAGACAAATCAGTTTTTATTCATATTATTCCATTGTTCAGTTGTCAATGTCTTCTGAGAAAATGCATGTATTTCTTTAAGTTCATCAGAAAGAATTTCATTTACCATACTAAAAAATAAATAATAACAACATTTTAGTAATTTTAATAGATAAAAAATAAGGGAATGAAGGCTTTTTTGAAACTAATATACATAACGACAGACAGTGCCCAAAATAAGTAATGAGATCTACTAATTGATATGAATGTGTTAAAACTTTCACGGGTTGAAATATAACAAGGATGATTTTCAGATATATCCGTGTCAATGGCACATACAGTCACAGCAGCGGAACAGTCGTGACAACCCTGAAGAAGGACTCTGCAAAGAGTCTGAAATGTCGGTCAACAACCATAGACACGGAATATCTGAAAATCATCCACATGATCTACCAATTGGTTATATTTTGTACAACGTAAAAAGACCATTTTGAAGTCAAAAAGTAACATAACTATATGTTGTTTACAATAGGTAAATTATACAATTTTTTTTTTATTAATAAGCAATAAAATACAAACGCTTAAAAACTATGAATATTTTTGAGTGTGCTATCATTTTTTAAATATAAAAACAAACGTTTGGAATGCAAATTAAAGTATTAACAAGAGCGCTGTACAAAGATAGCTGAAAATGTATTCTAGTAGATGAAAAAGGTGGCATTACAAATTTTTCAAATGAACAAGAAATTCAAAAATTCATATTGTATTAAAAACTAATATTTTATAATAGGGTTAAAGCAACTTATTTTTACTTTAATTTAATATTAAAAAATTAAAAACATACACATTACATTTTACGCAACTACCCATTTCTAAAAAGTTTAAGACTAATGATAGTTTGTTTTCTTTATGATAACAAAACAACTTTAAAAGATGAGAATGAGTTTTCAGATTACTCATCACATCACTAGATTAAGCAAAAAAAAAAATCCCTCTACATTACTTTGACTATAATTTTCCTAAAAAAGACAATTACTATTTCTAATTCCCTTAAATTACAAATTAGGCAAAGACAATTAGATTAAAGCCCCTTAGTTTCTGGATTCACTACTCAATTGCATTTGAAAAAACTTGACTCACCGATGACGTTGTAGCAAAGGTTTTCCAACAAAGCGATCTGACACAACAATTACACTAAACTTGGCACCACATCCATCAGAGTCATCATGAACTGACTAAAAACAAAAAGATCAGTTTTACCAATTAATTATTTTACAATTATTGAACATATTTATATTTTTTAGCTTTGATGCAGAGCTGTGTTACTGTATTTAGTAACTGGACCCACAATACCTTTTAGGCTTCTGAACCTTCCTTCATATAACAAGCCTATAAAGACAGAAATTGTACCTAAAAGGTATTTTATTGGGCCAAAAATAAGTTAACCCCAGAACTTATGGTGAATATCCATTCACCAAAATATAATTTATTTAAATTAAAATTAATTTTTTTTTTTTAAATTAAATCTAAATATTGTTTTAGTATTTGTAACTTAAGTATTATTGTTTTTTTTTAACATTATTTATTCATATAGCATCACACTTTATACATTATTTTTTATAGGATTTTAGAATAATATATGAGTATTATGTCACTAAAATATAAATATTTTAAGCTAAAATTACCTATTCAACACAATAACATATAATCCATAATAGTTACTGATTTATACATATTTAGAATATGAACCTGAAATAGATAGGATCATAGAGGGCAAGAAGACAAAATGCCATTGGGCAGATCTCGTTTCAGTGTATGAGACCAGTATATTATACTACATTTGTAAAACATTGTAGAACCATCTTACAAGACGTAAGATGGTTCTACAATAAACAGAATATAATTTATTTAAAACAAATTAAGAGCCGCTTAGAGAATTAACCATTAAGCTGTTTTTAGCTGTTTAGTCCAGCCCTAATGCTAATAGTATTGGACAGTGTTAAAGTACTAATGTAGGAAAAGTTAATAAGACATAAAGTTAATCATTATTTAATACTCTGATAAATTCCATTACAACATATAATTTATAAACACACTATTTTTAAAGCCAAACACTGAAATCTTAAAAATAATTATCACTATACTACTTTTATTTCATTACTTATTAAAAAGAAATAATGAAGTAATATTACAATGTATTTGAGTATTCTTATAAAACACTATTTTTCTTTTTAAAGACAAAAAAATAAATTTTACATTATAAAACTTACAGTCAATAAAAATAATAATAAAATGTATCAATAATAGATTATTTTAAATAGTATAATAAGAATATTAACTTGACTTAGTGAAAAAATTGACTTAGTAAAAGTTTTAAAAAAGTTTTTTTTTATAGTAGTTTTAGTATAATTTTTTCTTAGAAATATGCAACATTAACTGATAATAATTAAAATACAACCAGAAAAAAATGAAATGTATACAACTATAAGCAGAAATAAGTAAAGGCCATAAATATGGATATTTCTGAGGTGGTTCTATAATTACACAACATATAACCAACACAAGACATCCAATTATAGACAAATTACGTAACAAATTAAACTTAGATTCTAATTCACTATGTTTAGATGGAATAGTTTTTTCAATATTTCTGTAAATTATAAAATAAATTACGGATAAAGAAATAAATGGAATTAATAAATTGTCTTTTAAAAATAGCGGCAGCATACTAAATGATGTGATAGTTAAAAGCCAAGTGCACATAAAGGTATTTTGAGCAGCATATAATAAAACTGGTACAGCAACAAGAAGGATACTCTTTTCGTGCACTTGAAAGGAAAACAAAAAAAACGACAAAGAACAATTAATTAAAGAAAGTGAAAATTTACTTTTACTAGGGTTTCTGAGAAGATCTGTACAAGATGGTAACACCGAAATTATTGTAGTCAACAAACATACAGCAGCCATCTGTTGGTTGTTAATAGTTTTTAGTTTATATATCACATTTACGAGGCACCATACGTTTGATACTTTATCCTCAAAAACCCCTCGCTCTAATGGAAAAATTCTATGTACAACTTGAAAGAACTGTTTGGTATCGGTTAAAAAAGGAGCCCATATTACAATAAATGATAATGTTACGCTAAGAACAAGAACGATTAAACTTTTTAAAGCAACTATGAATTTATGTTTTCTATAAGTTTCAAAAACTATTCCGATGTAATAAAAAAAGAATGGCAAAGCATGATACAATTCCATTTGTTTATAATTAAAAGCTAAACTGAAAAAAATACAACTAAGAACACTTTTGTTAGCATACAAGCTGGTAACACTTGCTATGAATAATCCAAGTGAAACACAGTTATACTGAAAATGCCCATAATCTATCAATATGAGTCCTGGATATAATAAAGTCAGCATAACTGTCATGGTCCGATCAATTTGCTTATCTGACTTGATTTTGAATATTTGATGGAAAAAACAATAGACAGCCGGAATATACACAAGAATATCGACAATGAGAACGGAATATCTCATTAATAGCTTGTGGTTTTTAGATTCAAAGCCTCTAGATGTATTCAACTCGACAGATTCTGGAAGTGTTTTTTTTAAAACCAATCCATTAACGTAACTGTGATATGCAGTCAATGGCGGGTAATCAAGACCCCAATACAACAAGTCATTATCCGATGAGTTGAAGTACCATTGCTTGATCGGCAATGACGCAGTTATTTCCATCCAATGCCGTTGGGCTTCATAATCTCCATACATTGGAGGGTTCGATTGTCCGGAATATTCATGCAAACTGACAAACCAACGAAATAGTACAGCGATCAAAAAAACATAGTAGTCGTTGAATATTTGTTCGTAGTATACAGACAATAAGCGACTGTGACTCATGATACTACAATAGGAAAAACCAGTGTTCATGAAAAATGTTGTATTTTCTGGAAAAAGACAATCGAAATTGCAAATTTTATCTTTCGTTTAGATTTCCATATTACATTATTACTAAGATTTTAAGAATATGTTTAATCATTACTATAAAAATACGTATAAAACCACAGACAAATTAAAATATTACATACAAACTTTTATTAAAATTTAAATGATTATACAAAATATTTTAACTGTTATTAGCATAAAACAGAAAGACATGCAAAGGGACTGCATAACTGTGATTGAAATACAAACATAATTTTAATAATAAATAATAAATATTCACTAAAAGTTAATTTCAACTATGTTTACAAATTTTCCACTAGAAATTTTGTATGAAAAAATATTTTTAAAAACATAAGTGAATCATAAATTGCTAAAATTCAAAATCCAAAAATAACTTTTTATTTTGGTATTTATTTTTTATAACATATGCATGAAGTACTTTATTTTTGATACAAGGATACATTGGATACACACAAACCAACGCCAGTTACGGAAAGTACTATACTACTGTTTTGTTATGCCGCAAATAGTCATATGTTTCAGTCTTTGAGTTGATGTTTTTTAATATGTTTTCATATGCAAAAAGTAACACCTCCTAAAGTAAAAAACACGTTAGTTTTCGACATAACACAAAAGTATACCGCTCTTTGTGAAAAAGAAACAAAACATAGTTTTTTATAAAACTAATGAAACATAAGTTTTTTTAACGATGGTATCGACATATCGATAAGGTTACTAAATAGCTAAAACAAAGATTTTTTTGGTAAAATCCAAAAATGTTGTTTTTAACACTATGGTTATCACTTATTGTGAAATAAGTGATATTTATTTACCTATTCTTTAAAAAACTAAAACTTATTTTTACAATATTTTGAATACTAAATTGTATTAAATCTATAATAAAGGTAATGTATAATTAAGTATCCATAAATTCATATATTTTGTATTAAACAGATACACCCTAGATTTTATATTAGAATAGGCTAGGTATTCGGCAATTATTATTGTAGCTGAATTTATTTTTACAAGTAATTTAACTATTAACAAAGTACTTTTCTGCTAACTCTTACTACTAGACATTATTTTATCACAAATTCAAAGGAATTTTGTTTTAATGGATTGGCTAACATTTTAATTATCAGTAGATTTTGAATAGAGTATGCTTCACAAGACATAATAGTTTGATTCAAAATATATACATTTATTCAGTATTAAATGTTTTGTAGATAAATTATAAAAATTAAATAAAAAATTAATTAGTAGTTGCACTTGATACTTTAGTTTTCTTCTTTTTTGGTTTCACTGCTAGTGTTGAACGTACTTTAAAAACAGCTTCACATGTTGTACAAATAGGACTGATTTTGCAGTAAATAGTCAAACACAACGAACACACAAATCCAATTGCTGTTAAATTGCCATGACAAAAGCAAAAAGGTCTGAAATCCAACTGTGGAGCTAATGGTATTACTAATTTTTTTCTGGAAGAAGGTTCTGTTAAAAATATCCATTGTAAATATAATAGAAGACCTTCTAGTTTTGGCATTCGAAAATATGAACCTTCTGTAATGTAACATGCTTGTTTTAATAAAGTCACATCATGAGTAAGGCTGCAAGCATCAATAGCAACATTTTGTTTTTGAGCAGTGAAGAAAGTGTTCATACAGCGTATATATTTGTCTCCTTCGTTATCACAACCTGATATTATCAAAATTCTTGAATTCATAATTTCACCGGGCAGTAAATTATTTTGTAATCTGTTTATATAACATAGAGATTTTGCACATGATGCCCCAAAAACTGTATCTCTTGACATATGAGGCTCTTCAGCTGCATCTCTCAGAAACTTCATTATGTTAAATTTGATGGAACGATCAATATGACTGAATAATTCATACTGACTTCCGCCCATTTTACAACTGCTTATGGTTTTCTTTTTAAAATCTAGTTCATCTTGGTCAGAGTAAATAAAATCACAACTGTTGGGATCAGAAGCGAGAACAGCAACTTTATTGTGAGTTCTAAGCATAAGATGAGAATTAGCAAAGGCAACTACAGAGCTAAGTATAGATGATAGTTTAATTTCGCCATTAAGTAAAATATCTTGAGCAGGATTAACGTCCAAGATTATTACTAAGAGACTAGACACGAACTTCTTTGGTTTTTCTGATTGCATTTTACTTGCAAATATAAAACATTGGTAATTTAACTAGTTATTGTTTACAGCACAATGGTTATACATAGTATTTTTAATTTAATGCTATAAATAAAAAATATACGAAGTTATATAAAGGATATAAATATATTTTAAAAATGTAGAATTAATAAATATATTATATATAATATGAATATCTAAATTTTTAATTTAATAGTATACCCAAGATTCAAAATTTAATTTTTCACGAAATAAAGCATAAACTAATTTTGATTGATAACATATAGTTTAAGGTTATACCTTACCTACCATTTTGATAAACTATTTATAATCTCTTTGACTAATATACAATTATTATGGGTCTTTGATATAATCCAAAAAATGTTTCTGAATTTTAAAATAATATGTCTTCACTCCCCAATGTATACAATTTTATTTTTTACAAAAATTAATACTTTTCTTCAAGAAAATTTCTTGTTATTACTAATAAGCGTGTTATAAATTATGGTCATTTAACACAATAAACATCATGAGTCCTAGTATTTTGTTTTTCATAATTTACAATTATGAACAGTATCTATGAAGTTTGTTAAAAATTCAGTTTTTCCCAGAAAAAACATTTGTCTTGAGTAAATAAAAAAATAGTTACTTTTAGTATGTGTTTCTACAGAACCCAAGACAGGGGTTAAATTTGAGAACTGATATAAATATATTTAATAAAGAGTATTTATATGACATGGGGTTAGAGCTTGAGTTAAGTTAGGTGGTTGATAATTGGAGAAAAAATCATTATTCAAAGTAATTTAAGTGTTCTAGTCTCCTGAATTCCTTCTCCAATTCAAGCACAATCCCAATATGGTTTTACACTAATACTCAAGATTCTTATTTTTGTGTCTAGAAAGGTCCAATTTTTTTTTTTTTTTTGTGAGTTGATATGTAATTATACAAGTTTTAAATTTTAGTATGATATTTGTTAGATACAACCCTACTAGCCTGCAAATTAAAACCAAAAAAAAACGATTAATACTTTCTATCAGAAGGAGTGTAAAAGAGTACATTTGCTTATTAGAGAGTTGTTTTATTGTAAAATAAAAAAGAAATCTATCATTTAATTTTTATACACAGACAACTATATAACAGAAAATTAAACAACCTAATAATAGGTTTAAAAATATTTAAAAGTATTTATTGTTCATATAATACTTATAATAATTGTTCATATAAACATCTAAAAATTTGCATTTTGTTTAATGATTGTATGAGTTATTATACGTATCCGTGACCCTTCATTGACTTATCATACTAGCTTTTTTTAATTTTTAAACTGCTTGATTAAATTAAATTTTATCCTATTATTATTTATTACTAGAGTTGCATTTGACTGAAAAATAATACTAAACATTTTAAATTTTACACGAGTTATTTTATGGAAATAAGCATGTTATATGAAATTAAATAGGAAGTGATAGAAAAGTATAGTTTTATTATGACGATGCAATAGCTAAAAATTAAAATATGGTGTTATTAACTTACATTATATGATTACTGTGAATTATTAGCTTCAATGTTAGCAAAATAAGTGGGTATATTAAAACAATGTTTAATTCGATAGCATAGACAATTCATGTTTACACTTCATCGCCTGCTTAAGTATTAGTTAAGTACAAAGTTTATGTATTTTAAAGAATTTAAGAACTTACCACATATGAAGCGTCGAGTTTATCAGTTAATTTATTTTTCAAATAATCTTCACTTATGACCATTACAATAAATTATTAATTTATAACTAAAAAAATAAAAACAATCGAAAATTGTATAACGCCCAATTAAGAAGTACCTAACCGGAAGAACGAAAATACAAAATAGTGAGACAATTAAAAGAAAAGGTTATTTCATATTTTTAATAGGGATACTGCTTTTTTCACATTTTATTACTAATTGCCAATATCATAGTATCACAATATAGAAATTAGGAAAAAATATGATAGAGTTTATGCCTCGTGGTCACTACACTGGTCAAACTATGTAGAATCGCAAAGATATATTGGTATACATAACCATGGTTGTTGTATGGTGATAAAATGATAATAGCAATTGCGTTTTATCAACTTATCATGGATATTATCAATTTTAGTTGTTTTCCAAATTCAAATTTAGAGAACGTTATGTGTAATTTTAAAAACAATTAATCTTTATTTCGAAAATTAAGTTGTTTAACCATGGTTTATCAAATTATAATCTATATTTTCTTGGATTTAATACAAACTAATTTCTTAGTTTTAATGAAATGACAAAACGTTAATTTAAAAATTAAAATGTATAAAGTGATCAATGATTTTGTTTTAGTTGAGCAGTACAATATACTAACTTTTTAGTGTTCATAATAGAGTATTCAGTATTTAAGAATACTTTAGTCATGAAGATATTTGTCATGTGTAGACATTTTTCATCTGGGTTTTTACAAAAGAAACCATGCAGAAAAAAAATTCTTTTTGGTTTCCAGAAATCAAACATTTCTAGTGAATCATCATTAAACCACATCATTAAATCGTTTGAAATATCTAAAATAGACCATCAAAATAAATTTGCTTGTTTGCTAACCAAATGTTTGTTTTGTATGAAGAAGACATTGTACATAAATAAAATCACTGGTAAAATGTTTTATAATATTAAATATGAAAAAGATACAGAAAATTGTAATTTGAACTTTACTTAATTGTTAACTTTTTTTAAATTTAAACTTTGCTTGTAGGTTGGTTTATTTGTACACACTGTATACGATGTGGTGATTGGGCTACATATAAGAATAATCTACAATCCAACATTACAAAAGATAAATGTAATTCAATTCCTATTCCAAAAATATTTGAAGCTGAAACACATTTTTCTGAATTATCAAGTAGCCTAAAGCATTTCAGTACACTAGCAAAAAGCTGTAAAAAAAGTGTTTTAAAAGCCTTAGACTTGGAGGTAAATATTAATCCATGTAAAGGGTATCATAATACAGTAAAGCTGACATGCTACTAGTTTACTACTTACTTACAAATGTACATATTATGTTTTATAGAGCTTACCAACAGAAGGAATTGATCGTATTCCAGGGTTATATGTAAATTCAACAAATACTGTACTATACTTGACTATGATGCTGGATAATAAAAAAGTTGTCGGTTTTAAAAGATTTGATTTAATTAATAATCAAACAGACATTACAGAGCCATATGACTGTTGCTGGGGAATAGTTCAAGTGCCACCTTCAATATCTAATCGAGATAAAAGCGCAGTTGTTGTAGACAATTTAAAAAACTTACTAGTTTTAGCAGCTCATCGAATACCTCACCATATTATTTGTACACCACATGGTATGATTTTATATATAAACACCTATTAATTTCTAATAACTTGAATAAGTTACAATTTTAAACAATCTAATTTCTCTGTGTGGTATTAAGGCGTTAGAAAATTGCCCCAAGAATTATTACCATCATTGGAACATTATGATAAATTGATATTGTGGTTTGGAAATGATCAAATTGCGTGGAATTCAGCTAGAACATTTGCCAAAAAATTAGTAGAAACCCGATGCCATTTTATCAGGCCTGTAAGTGATCAACCGTCACCTTATTTAGCATACAAACAAGGTTTAAATGTTGAGAAAATAATTAAAACTGCAGATCAAATGGTTCATCCTAGCATTATTCAATTTTCAATGATACGAAACGAAGTGTTCTCAGAATTACAAAATCATGATAAGGTAGTGTAACTATGTAAAGCTCATGTTAGAAACAAATAATTATATAAGTATATTTTATATTTACTATTGTTATATTTTTTAGACTTTAGGGATTAAGTGGTCTGGTTTTCCAACGTTAAATAATATTATAGGAGGGCACCGTCGAGGTGAACTCACTATATTAACTGGGCCGACTGGATCTGGAAAAACTACGTTTATGAGTGAATATTCTCTAGATTTAATTCAACAAGGTGTACGTGCTTTAAAATTATTGTTCATAAAAAATAACTTTCTTTAGTCTAAACATTACATCGTTTTTACCTCATTACAATTAAAAACAATGTTCATTTTTGAAAAAGAATATTTTCCTGTTATTTTCAGTATTTAAAGTCATTACTTTAGATTTTTTATACTATTTTTAGGTTAAGATGTTTTAATGTTACATGTCAATATTTTTTTAATTTTTACAGCTACCAACATTATGGGGAAGTTTTGAAATCCGTAATCAAAGGTTGGCAAAAATCATGCTCCAACAATTTGCTAAAGAACCTGTACATTTAAATTTAAATTTATTTGACAATTTAGCTGACAAATTTGAAAAACTACCATTGTATTTTATGACTTTTCATGGTCCTCAACCTCTAAACTTGGTTATGGATGTAAGTATAGTTGTTAACTACGTTTATAATTCTATATTTTTATACTTTAAGTTGTTTAATAGGCAGTTGAGAATGCAGCTTATGTTTACGATATTGGTCATGTAGTCATCGATAACGTACAGTTCATGATGGGTATCGGTTCAAAGTATAATATGGGAACAGAAAGATTTTGGCAACAAGACACTATAATAGCAGAATTCAGGCGATTTGCAACGTATTCAAACTGTCATGTTACATTAGTAATACATCCTAGAAAAGAAAGAGATGCTGAACAATTATCTGTTAACTCAATTTTCGGCACAGCAAAAGCCACACAAGAAGCTGATAATATATTAATTATACAACATAAAACTCTAGAATCATTAAAAATTAAAAAATACTTACAGGTAATGAAATTATCACAAACTCTGGCTCTTAAGTCAGAAATATTTAAAATAAATAATACATGTTAAGAGAACGCTATACCGCTAATTTCTGAGGTGTAAAATATAGGCAATTTTTTTAAAAATCTTAATTTAGAGCTTAAACTATAGTGTATACTTAGTAATACGATAATGAGATTCTTTATTGATGTATATATTTTTTTTGTCTAACTATCACAGTCATTTCTATAGGATAAATTAGAGTTTGTTTCAATAAAAACTGCATTGCGTGGGACAAGTATGTGAGGTCAGTGTTAAGAGTAGATTAACCAAATTTTCACAATTTATAGAGAAGAACTTTATCTATGCTGTAGCGTTTTTATTTTTTTGATATTTATACTTATAAACAAATTAAAAAAAGGAAAAGTATTCTTCATTATTTATTCTTTACAAATAATTTATTCTAATTGTGTTTATGTTATTAAAAAACTAAAAACGCTTTAGCATAAATAAAGCTCTTCTCTATATATTGTAAAAACTTTATACAGTTACTGTAAATACCGTCCACATACTTGTCCCTACAAAACCATTTATCCCGGATCAAATACAGGTGTGAAGCGTCCTCTTAATAAATAATTGGTTCTAAGTTCAATTTATTTATTTTTTAGATAGTGAAAAATCGCTACAACGGAAATCTTGGAGTGATGCCTTTAGAATTCAATAAACATAGTTTAAGTTTCGCTCAACAAAAAGATTAATTTTTTTCTTGTATCGCATATTTAAAATTTGAATTATGTATACAATTTTCACTTTGTAGTTACATTTCTTAGTAGTTTTATAGCAGTATAAAATGTACATTTGTTTTGTATAAAATGTTTGTTATAACTTTAGTAGGTAGTAACACATAGGTATGATTCCTTTGTAATCAACTTGACAAATTTTTACAAAAAATAATTAAAACACATTTTTGTGTTATGAGTTCTTTTTGGTAATAGTTTATAAATTGAAATGTTATTAAAAATCATAAAAACAATATATTATTTTTTTAAATATACACATACATCTTATATATATATTATATATTACAGAAAAATTATAATTAAAGCTCAATTAATTCAAATCAGTGGTCAAAGTTCCTTCTGCTTATTTAATTAATTTGATTTCGACCCTCTTTTGTCCATTCATACATTAGGTATACTTTCTGCTTATGATATCTATTGTTACTGCTCTTTGCTTCTATGTCAAAAAAGACGGTATTATAAAATATAAAAACTTTTTATAGGCATTTTTTTTATCCTTGGGATAAAAAAATAATTAGACGGGGAAATTTTACACTTTCTTACACTTCGTGTGTAAGTAACTTATTTTTTATACCGCACCTCACTTTAACACTTTCTTATTGTGCTGGTTTATACTGTTTACCTGTGCTCCGGCCCTACACAAATATTATCAAACCGAGCTAAATCCAATATCTTGTTTGACAGTGATAAAAAAAAAAAATTTCCACGGATACACGAAAATGTAATAATTACTGACCGAACACTACACGCGAATAACACATAATTTTATAAAAGCACACCGGATTCTAACGAAATAAAATCAAACGTATAAACGGCCTAAAAAAAATATTATGTTATAATTTTAAGGGACCTTCTGTAACTTTTGTTCTAATGAATATTTTTAGGATTTTTTTTTTTTAATTAATTATACTTATTTGCGCTATAAACATTGCGGTTTGTAGTATTTTTAACTGTTTTACTTTTTTTTTTTTAAATTCAAGATAACCATTTTATTGAGAATTTGACTAGCCGATATCCAGTTTTCGATAGTTACTATGTTATTTCTACTTTTTAGTACAAAACTGCAAAACAATCCTATTATTTTTTATTTGAACTGTAGAGTTATGATTATTAATATACATACCTTTTTTTCAAAATGTTAGCCAGTAAAATTTGTAACTTTAATAAATCTCGTATGGTTTGATTTTGTTTCTCTAAATTAAGGCCGAAGGTGTGAACTTTTTCAACTTTTACCCCCCCTAGAACCAACTAGATAAAATGTGTGATTTATAGAGTTGCTCCTTGAAGGAATTGGTACAGTATGAAAAAAGTTACAGCGTACACAAACACAAAAAAATTCCACATCATTGTAAAATTAATAGCATGATCGCTATTCGCTGCTCCGCATCGAGGCTAAAATGCCTATATGTTATAGATTATTCTAAATTTCATATTATTACTGTAACATGGAATTTGCATAACCCTGTATTTTCCTATTCTCCAAATTCTTTTATCATATCACGGACTTACAATTATATATTATTTTACATATTTATTCTATTCATTAATTTGTGTGCTAATCATTTAATTCAAATATATTAATTTACAGTGTTATGATTTTTAAATTAAACTTTATCCATCTTTTATAAAATACCTAGATTTTGTTTCATAAAATTGACGACAAGCAAAACCTATATTATAGGCGCAAATTAAAATGAATTATTAATTATCAAACCATCTTGTATATCCGTATGAAAAAACGAGAAAAAAGGACCTATTCATGATTCATATAATATAGGATTACCATACCATACGGCACTGTCTGTTTTGAAATACACCCATTTTAATAATAATAGCTAATATACCTATATTACTCTCGTCTCTCGAGTCTCGGCTGTTATCGAAACTATAGTTATCGAGGGACAAGGACAATCATCATTTTCAGATATTATTGCGTAGTACATTTTTGATTTAATAAAATAATTGCATAAATAATGCATAATAGTTCATGTAAAATTTTACTGTTTTATATATTAATATGTACCTAATAAATCATATGCATTAATATACTCTTATTAATTAAATCGTTTTCAAAGAGAATCAACACATTTAACGATTTCAAGTGAACTATACCGTAGAGTAATAATTATGATAAATAGTCGACAATTACAATTATTTCTATTAATCTTAAAACGACATAGAATTACTTTGACGTGTAATTATCTCAGTAATTAGATACTATAACCAAATACTTTTCAACGAATGTTCTTTATAGAATATTTTAATATGCGTACATAACAATAAATTAAGTACAACTTTTTAAAATGTATAAATTTGAAATTTGGAAAGCATACAACAATATTTTATTCGTCGATATAGTACAAAATATGAAAAACAAGGGAATTTTCGTTACGATATTTAACCTTCTTGCTACCTCGCCCAAAATAAACAATTTATATGTATATAATTTCGTATTGTATAACTTCCGGGAAATTGACTTCTTTTCGCTTTTGGTTTTAATCCATCAATTTCATGAACGCCATAAACCGGTAAATTCATTGTTGTACGATTCTAGTGTCATACTAATGTATACATTGTAGTAATAGACATTAGACAATCTGACAATAGTAATAATGGTAGTTAGTATAGATACCATTAACTTTCCTAAAAGAGTTAATTATATATGTAGTTGCCGTTGCTACCTACGAAGGAAACGTAATTTACTACGGCTGACGGCAGATGCGACCAGTGTAAAATATAGTATATTATACTCCCATTGTCCAAGGAGATTATACAATTGATAACGCGTATTCTAGCCCAAATCCAAATTTCACCTTAATCTGATTACGAGTAAAACTGAAAACTTTTGTTTTTAATTTTTCCTTACAGCTATTTATTTCAGTAGTATTTTTCAATTTATTGTAAAGTTATAATCTATAATTTATATTGCTGTAGTAGATGTGTAATTTAATTTTTTTTTTTACAATTTCAAGCCAGTACATTTGCAAACTCGGTAACTGTCGTCCGGGTAGATGTAATTAGATCTAGGTATGTAGTTTATTGTTACACATAGTCATTTATGAAATTGTATTCACTCAATAATAGATAATTTGTTCTGATTTATACTACAGAATTTACACGATTGATACTAATAGCTTGCTTAAAATTATGTGTTTATAAATATAAAAATAATATAAGAAAAAATTAAAAATTCCTTATAATGTTAAAAATTAGCTTTCTCTTTATCGTTATTGATAATACATTAATAATATTTTACATCAACAAATTACTATAGTTTTTTTTAAACTAATAAATAACTATGCATTTTTTTCATAGCAATAGCGCATATAAAGTTAATAATTGATTTATTAATTATTGAACTTTTTCAAGTAGTAATGTTTGTATAATATATATTAAATATTTTTTTTGTTTCTAAATATTTAATAGTTTTCATTTTTAATATAGGATCTCTACAATTTGGATTTATTTGTTATGATATTAAAGCAAAATGAATTACTTATTGTATCCATAATATTTTCATAATTTTATATAGTGTCTTTATAGTAGCAAGTTATTGTATTTTTTCCCTAGTTTTTCAATAATGTCATTCTTAGTTAATTTATACGTTTTTAATCAACATTATTTAAATACTAGCTATTACTTGTCAAAAATGATTGCAAGAAATTAAGTCTTATTTCTAATCGCCATTTTAATTTTTCAAAATTAATATTTGTTTATTTATTATTTGTTTGTTTATATGCTTTAGCCCAATGATAAATGATTACAATGATATACAGTAAAATTAATAAATTACAACATTGTAATTTGTAATTTACAACATTTTTTGTATCATCCATAATTTATTAATTCAAATTAATATGAATTTTAATATAAATTAAATTTAGAAACCCCATCATTATAGCAGTGTTTTGAATGAAATGAATATCAGGTAAATATTAAATAATTATGTGCATATTAACGAAACATCGAACAGCTGACTGTAGTAATCTGTCAATAATTATTACTCACGAACAAATGTAAACATTTAAAACGGCTTCGAATAGTATTCAATAAACTTTCTGTCCACTTATATTCAAGGTTTAGATTGTTGTGTCTCCTAGATTTAACTGGGCTTTGCAGGCAGAACTTCATACATATAAGGCAAATTAATATGTTATGTAGATTTACTTAAATGTTAAATAGATAAATATATTATACAGTTATTGTTATGCATTAACGGTAACATATCTAGACAAACATAATATACTTATAACATATGAATATGTTTGTGTTTAACCATAATACATTTTTTTAATTTTGTTTTTTAGAAAATGTATGGATTCATTCATTTTAATGTCAAAATTAGATCAAAATAATTTCTCAAGCAATTTTCAGTAACAATTACAACAGTTCTACGAGCTATGGGGTCCTTGCAATACAGTTCTAAGGTAAGTTACTTATTAACATAAGTATACTTTTGTAAATGTAAATCTCAGGAATGGTCTTAAAAACTTTCTAGATTTCTATTTTATTTAAAGTTTTACAATTAACATAGTTTTTTTTTTTATCGTAATGAAAGTCCTTGGTTACTGAGGTCATTGACCAATAGGTTTTTGCATTATAGTATAATTATATTATGTCATTGTAGAATCTTTTTTAAATTAATTTTCAAATGTTATAACATTAACACATCAATGTCAAACACAACACATTTTTTACTTATTCCATAAACTTTGTAACGTAAGGCTTTAATATAAACTTTACACATTTCTCCTAATCTCATGTATATATTACTAGTTTAAATGAATTAAGTTTACTTATCAAGTAATTATTGGCAAAATATGTCTCTTCCTAGTAATCTCTTTCTATATATCTATTTTTTAAAGTTTAAACTGTTTAATTTATTCAGAATACATAATATGTTATTATTTAATTGTTACAGAAACATAAATAAATTAGTCAATTTTCAGACATCACTTAAAATGACTGAACATTTTGGATTAAACCGTAACTCCGAGGCAAGATCATCAGGAAGTAGCATCATCAGTAGTGGAAGTACACGTGTGTCGACAATACCGGTCACATCAATCGAAGATGGAAAATCTAGATTTCCAAAACTAGAAGAGTGTGCACATTTTCATTATGAATACGTTGAGCTTGGGCCTCTCAAAGTTTGTATATTCTTACAACAAGTTATTTAAAATATGTTTTCTTATAGATATTAAACTTTTTATGTCTTTTCAGCTTGAATTAATTGAAGAAGATGAACAAAAATTTGCAAATATAGATAACGATTGCTGGTTTACAATAAAAGTTGAATCACAAAACACTGTGTGGGTTTTAAGGCGATCATATGAAAATTCAAAAACTCTAGACCACCAGTTGCATAAATGTGTTTATGATAGAAAATTTAGTCTGCTTCCTGAACTTCTAGCTATACCTTGTGATTGTGAAAACCCAAACGTATGTAGTACATAATTAACAAATTTAATTTATATAATTTTTAATAAAAGGTGATAAATTTTAAAACAAAAATGTAATTTTAGGAATTTGTAAAAAATTTGATAAGTAAATATTGTTCAAGACTATCTCAAATAGCCGTGGGTAGCTTGATCAACTGTGGACCTATACTGAGTTGGTTAGAATTAGACAATCGTGGACATCATTTATTGGTAGCTGATGGAGATCATTGTGCGATAAATACTCCCGCTGTTGCTGCCGCCTATTCTGTGAGGAAGTACACAGCAAATGCTTCTGACGAACTATCATTTGAAGTAACTATTATTATTAAGGTTGAAAAATATAAGAAATAGTAATAACAAAGTATAAGGGTGTAGGCCACCTGTACATATCCTCACTCAAACTTTATGTGTACTATCATAAATTATATACTATCTAACATGATTTCGGTTATGAGTCATGCTGATTTATTGTATACTTTTTTAATTCTAGATTGGTGATATTATTTCAGTCATTGATATGCCATCACCGGAAGAAAGTATTTGGTGGAGAGGAAAACATGGTTTTTTAGTAGGATTTTTTCCTTCAAATTATGTTGTTGTAATTACAGATAAAGTCCCCAGAAATCTATATATTAATCCTCAAATGCAAATGGCTCTTTCTGAACCAACAAAGCCTGTTTTAAGGTATAATTTCTCACTGATTATTTATTTGGTCAAGTTATTGAAGGATTTATTTTTAAAATATTATGCTTTTACTTTTGATAATTTGTTTAATAAAAACATTACTCATAGCAATACACTTATAAAATATCAATATTTTGATAGAATTTAAATTGTATTGCTTTCTCTATCGATGGCATGTGATAAGCTACATAAGTGTTGCCCTTAACAGTGAAAGTTGTACATTCTAACCTAGTTTTTAAGTAATCCCGTTTTTATTTTGTTCTGGTAAAAAGTAATTTCGAAATAAATTAATGAAAGCATACATCCCTTTATACATTTTATTAGGGTTTTATTATTATTATTTATACATTTTAATATATATATATATATATATATATACACACACTCACACGCCTGTACGTCTATGTATATAAATTATTATTTATAGGTATATCGGTGTGTATATTATTTCATAAATAACTCAGGGTTATCCGACACTAAGTATTATATTAGGATGTTTTTTGTTTTAAATGTGTTGTTCCATTGTATCTTATAAATCTTAGCTATGCAAAAATATAGATAATTATATTACAAAACTACCAATTATTATAAATAATTTTCATCAAAGTTTAATTTTTAACTACATGCCAACAAAATTAACATTTTATTATTTTTACCATATTTAATTAACTTTTTAAATTTTAATTCAAGGATTTTTCTATAGCTTAAACATCAGATATTTAATGATAATAATGCTACTTAAAACTAAACATATTGTTATTACTTGTTTCCAAGTCTAACTTTAAACTTGTTTATAGAAAACATGGAAAACTTATATCTTTTTTTCGATCATTCATATTGTCAAGGCCTACTCGGAGAACATTAAAACAGTCGGGGATTTTAAAAGAAAGAGTTTTTGGATGTGATTTGGGAGAACATTTGTTAAACTCTGGAAGAGACCGTTAGTGATACATTTTATTATAAAACTATATAATGTATTAATTATATGTGTATATATATATTGATAATACGATTTGTGTTATTTTTTAGTCCCAGATGTATTAACTAGTTGTGCAGAATTCATTGAGAAGTTTGGGATTGTTGATGGCATTTACAGACTTTCTGGTGTTACATCAAATATCCAAAGATTAAGGTAATTTTAAGTTTAGTAAAACTGTGTTTTGAAGTATTCAAATTTTATTAAAATATTTTTTTATTGACATTGTTATAAAATTATATAAAATGTGCTCACATTCCCTGTAAATTAGGTCGACCTTTGATGAAGATAAAGTTCCTGAATTATGGGATGATGAGTCAATAAGACAAGATATACATAGTGTTGCATCACTTTTAAAATTATATTTTAGAGAATTGCCAAATCCATTGTGCACTTACCAATTATATGATTCATTTGTAAATGCTGTACAATCAGTTCCTGAAAAAACTACTGAAGATAAATTACGTCTCATGCGAGAAACCGTACAAAAATTACCACCTCCTCATTTTAGGTAAAATTTTAATATAATTTAAATTTATTGAAAAATGTTTTATTTAAATTATAAAAATACATAGTTGTATTAAAAATCTATTTAAAATAATTTGGACTTATATATTTAAGCTGCGAAATAAAAAATACCATTGTGTATTTAAAATATGTATTAAAAAATTTCCCAATACTACTTGGTATATTATTAGTATTATAATAATAAATAATAGTATATTATATAAACAGGGATTGAATACTTTTTTGAGCCAGTATTTACACTATTTGTAATAACTACAATAAACGTTGACATTTATAATATATTTTTAAAAAAAAATCATTATAACTAATATGTATAAATTAATTGAATCATACAAAGTTAAATAATTTTTTTGAAATAATTTTTCTGTAGAACATTGGAATACTTAATGAAGCATTTATCTCGAGTGGCTGCTCTTGGAGAACAAACTGGAATGACGGCTAGAAACGTTGCTATTGTTTGGGCTCCAAATTTATTACGCAGTAAACAGTTGGAAACTGGCAGTGGTGTTGCTGCCTTACACGGTGTTGGTATTCAAGCAGTAGTTACAGAGTTTTTGATTCGATATACAGAATACATTTTTAGTCTTACATGTAATGTTGGAGCGGGTTTACCTCCCAAACAAGGTAAATTTAGTTTTAAGTATACAAAATGGATTGAACATAAGTTCAGTATTTATTTAAAAGAGTAATGTGATTGTAGGTACTCCCAAGAGATCTAGACCAAAATCGTTAGCAATTTCTACACATACCAAACTTTTGACTCTTGAGGAAGCTCAAAATCGCGTTAAAAAATCTGATACTAATTACATAGAAGTTGGTTAGTTTATTATGGTTCTATAAATGTATTTTTTATTTGTTAATATTGATGTGAAAATTATTTTTGCATTTGTAATTTTTTAACTGTATTAATATATTTTAGGTGGCGGTCCTTCTTGCCTCCCTGAAAAATATCATACAGTCATAGATTTACCATCAAAACGATGCACTACTAGTAAAAGACGTTCGCCATTAAGATGGAAATCATTTTTCACTCGCGGTGGCAGTAGTGTTTCACTTGGAGCTGTACCATTCCGTAAAAAATCTGAACCGAACTTGACACCATTTAAAACCATGGTAGAATTTTTGTAATTTTACTTAAATAATTATTAAAAAATTAAAAAAAAAATTAATTGTTTTATTTTTATTATTAATTATTCAGAAATCAAAAGATCGCATGTGCAAGACAATGGTAGGCGATTTGGATGTTCAAGACTCTCCTAAGTCTTTCAAGTTATCCGGTGAAACAATGTCATTGAAAGAAATTAAAGGAATGTCGCCGTGTTCTCCTCCTCGGCTTTGTGGTCCTGTTACATTAGGTCATAATCGTTCAGTATCACATGATTCATACTTTGACCAACTTGCCGATCAAGAAGATTTAGATGTTTCGCCTGTTCCTCGTCCAAGCCAAGAAGGTAAATTACTTATTGCCAAAACCGGCTTATAAAATATCAAGGCTATGAGCAACTGTGGGGCCTCTTTCTATAATTATTAGAGAAACAATAATTAGTGTAATTCCAAAGGTAGGAAGTATGTTCACTAAAGTAGAATTATTCTTGCAAGTAAAACAGTTTTCAATAGTATTATGACAAAAAAAAAAGTTTATATAAAAAAGTGTGCTAAAGTTGATAATCAAAGGTGAGTAATGAACAATTTCCATATATTCAACACTGTACAACAAAATTTCACCTTTGATTTGAGAAAAAACCAAAATATATATAATTTAGAGATTTTTTTTTTTTTGCTGAGTAAACAACTAACAAAACAATTTGTAATTTTGTTTTATGTTTAAAAAAGCTACAAATGCATATTAAGTCTGAGACAATTTTCTAATTAAGAAAATTAACAATTTGTACGACCATTAATGCTAGTTAAGACTTTGTCAGATATTACAATGGCATTGTATTTTGCAGAATTAAGTGACTTGCAAGTAAACTTTGACTTGGACGAATCTGACATGAGAGTTTTTTCCGATGAAGACACTACCCATATATTTAGTAATCGATCCAGCATGGACAATATTCAAATTTTTAATAGTAACACTGTAAGTTAATAACAAAAATGAGTGGATTATTACAGTGGTGTATTGTATACAATATGTGTACACACAGCGTATACCTTTACGCCTTAACCACTGTAATGTTATTAGTAAATAATATTATGTAAACAATTGAATGACTATCCTATATTGTGATTTTAGCTTAACAATAGTAGTAAACGTCTTCCAATATTAGCACCTACTGAGGATTCACTTAGTGCAGATCCATCACCGAAGAAAAAAAAGATAACAGATTCAAATAAGAGCGATTCAAAAAAAAATAGATTATCATACTTAGAAGAGCGCTTTGCTTCGCCTGACATTCGATTTATTGATAGCCAATCTCCAGAACATGTAATTATTTTTTAAGTATTTTATAAAAGAAGTTATACTATTACATTTTTTTTTTGCTATAGATGACTGTTTTGGTTGATGTACACAATAGCTGTGACGAAATCATGGCCGATATTGAAAGTAATGAAATTGATAATGGGTCAGTGTCTACTATTACCACACCAACAATCTCATATCATCCATTATCAGAAGATAGTTGTAGCGAACGAAACTTAACACCAAGTTTTTGCAATTTCGAATCTTCTGAACAACTGACAAAAAATCTCTTAAACACTCCTCGAAATCGTCTTAGTTACCAAGGTGACTTGCACAACAAACGACTATCTACTGATCGGCGTAGTTTTCAAGAAATAAAGTATGGAAATTCGTTAGATTATAAAGCTAGCAAAGACGGACAGCACGAATCTCGTATTAAGAAAGATATAGACGACTTATTTAAGTCTAACAATTCTATGGTTGTTGAATCATCTAAAAACTTAGACAAACCACTATATGAAATAATAATGGGAAATAACTATGAGCGCTTGGGAGATAATAATTCAATATTTAACCAAGACGATTTGAGCAGTGAAGAAAAAATTCCTTTGAACAAACAATTCAGTTCAGTCAATTCGATTGAAAACTTAAATTTCGAACAAGAAAAAACAGTTGAAAATATACACTATGAAACGTTAGTTACTACTAGTCCAGAATCTTGTAATTCTAGTCATCACGAGATGTCTATTTCACCAGAAGTATGAACTACTGATTATATAATTTTATAACTAAAGTTTTTATACTATTATGAACTGTTTTCTTTTATTTGTTTCTCCCCTACAAGGAACCTAAGGAATTTGACAAATCTCAACATAACGACAATTCAAAGGTTATGCATGAACAAATGGTTTCAAATAATAACTTTGATGCCATATCGCCCTCCTACGAAGATACAGAAATGTTGATTCAGGACACACCCAGAACCCTTGAACAATCGGACGCAGTAAATAAAGAATTGAATGAAATGTATATTATTGAGGGGTTTAGTGGAGGTGGAGGTATTGCGGATAACAACACTGATATTACGTGTTTGGAATCTAGTCGACGTAAATTTGAGTGCGAAATCGGAAGAAATATTGTACACGACAGACGCATGAGAAAAGAATTGATGGAAAACTCTAGTACTACTGGTAAGTAGTATACGGTTAAAAATAAATTAATACTTTTAACTTAACACACAATTATTTGATGCTTATGCTTTAATGTGGCCGCACTGGTGCAATTAGTGGGTAAATTGATATGTTTATAAGTCAAATGTGGTACGGTTTGGTATAAAATACCCTATGACCCTAGTTATAATAAGTGTAGTTTATATTACTATTATTTTTTCTTATTAGTTGGTCTTTTACAAGGACTCTAAAAAAAATATTTGCTTTGAATTGTAACTTATGAGTAACCTACTGGTATTTGTATGTTTTGAATACTCATTCAATATTATTGAACATTTATATCAGATAGGTGAATGAGAACTCCCATATTTGTAATGATTATTAGATAATCTTCAAATTAATTATTATTAAATTAAAAATGACATAATAACATTAAACTTATAATTAAAAATACAAATTTAGAAGAAAAAACTCGAGTCTTCGGGTCACGCTGCCGCCCTCCTTAACCACTTGCCTTCTTTATCATCTTCGCACTTCTAGCAGAGTCTGTAAAAACCTAGAATATGCTATTGATTATTCTTTTCTACTTGCTTTACACACTGTCCGTGCGTACTGGGGACAGTGAGCCAAAAGGCAAGAGACCAGCCAAGTCACGACAAATCATTGTGTATGATTGATAAATCTTACCTAAACGTGATGTAACCCTAACCTAACTTATGAATTTTATGACAGACTTTCACATTGTTTTTTGGCGAGTTGGTCATTGTAAAAGTAAACTCTATGCTAAAATGCAAATATAGTAATTAATTTAAATTTATTATAAACTGTATGTTTAGGAAATAAAGAAAATCTGACAAATGTAAAAGAGCTGTTAAATAAATTTGACACTAATAAATCAAATAAGAGTTGTCCAACATGGATGAAAAACCGTCGTCTACGAAATAATTGCCAAAACATTAATGCTACAGTTTCATTAGACGCATTTAATTTCCCTTTAGATGTTCAGAACCTAGAACGAGTTCGAACGTCACCAAATCTCATAAGCCTAGAATCTGGCTGTCAAAAATCTGATTCTTCTTGTGACATGGAAGCTACCCGTCGAGAGCGTATAGAACGATATAAAGAAGAACGTCGTTTAGCTCTCCGAGAACGTTTTAAAGCGGCTGAAAGCACTAGTTACGACGATGAAGACATTAAAAGATTAAGAGCAAAATCGTTGAAATCTCCGGAAGAAAGTTCTGACAATAAATTTAGTAAATCTTTCAATACACAACAAAAAAGACTAGGTCGGTTTATTTCTTGTTATGATGAACGTGAGAAGTTGACAAGTAATGTTGAACTAGCAGACTGGCATACACGCAGTTTAGAGCGTAAGAAAAATTATCGAGAAGAAACTATAGGTTTAGTTGCTTCACGAGTAAATCAGTTGATTGGAAGTACTAAGTCGTCTGACAATAATGATAACCAAAATTCCCTTAAAACTGTTGTGGAGAAACCATTGTTCAGGTAATTATAAATTATAAGTAATTATATATTACTTATGAGGTCAGGTCACAATAGGGGGGGGGGGTCACTGAATTTTATGAAACTTAATCAGCTTAATATAAACTAATAATAAAATTACCCATATTTTAACAGTAAAGAAAATTGCTATTATTTTATTAAAAATTGGCAGTTGTAGCGTACTACAAAATATTCTTTACTTTACAATAATACAAAAATCATCTAAATAGGATCAAATAGTCAAGATCGCTATTCCCTCAAAGGGATTTTTAATCAAACTTTCACTGTAAAAATAAACTAATTGGCATAATCGGGGCGGTGTGGCGCAGTGGACACCTCAGCTGCCGCATGGCACTTGAGGTTAAGCTGTGGTCATTGCTGCTTGAACCCGGATAGGTGACCACCTGGATTTTTAGCGGCGACCCACACCATCAACCCCCGATAAGCATGGCAGAAATGCCATGCGTCCTCAGGCGACCGAACTGGCATAAGTTAGCTATAGCCCTCCCGGTCAAAAAAGCCATACGATTATTTTTTTTATAATTGGCATAGTAGAACCTACTAGAATATTTAAAATGAAATATTTTTGACTATCTTTTATCTCTTAATAATTAGTCAGTACTATGCCATAAATTAAGTTACAAAAATGTTTGTTTAAAAAAAGTGCATGTCAACCTGTAAAACATTTATTTTTTCTATTTAAAGCGGGACTTATTTGACTTTAAATTTTTGGGTTTTTTCGGTTTTAATGGGTGTTATTTTTTGGTGAAAATTAATAAGTTTTCAACCCTTATTTGGTCGATTAGGATCTAATGGAATTATTTGAAGGGGCCCCTGTAGTGACCAACAAACAATTGTTTGTGTAAATGTTTGATAATCTATAAAAAAAAAGTAATAAAAACATTCACTCCTTAGCTATAAAAACAGACAAATATAGATTTTTTTATTTTTACATCTACATATTATTTGGCTCTCAGAAGCCAAACCGATTAACTACCCTTTTTTTTTTTTTGAGAAATCCAACTATGCTATTATTTGCAAAAAAAAAGAAAAAGGTAGTTAATCGGTTTGGTTTCTGAGCGCCTCATTTATGCATATGTATATGAGCACACTTATGTGCCCCAATACCTATGGATATGCTTTTTAATATTTCATTTCTAATTCTTTACTCCCCATCAAATAAGCAGAGTTCATTTATAGGATGGCAAGCATAAAGTAGAAACAACATTTGTTTCACCGGCAACCCGACCCGGTTTCTTTATAATTTACTCTATCATATAAATTAAAAGTTCAATACGACTTTAATTAATACTCTTTTTTTTCTTCTTACAGCTCAGTTCGACAGAGAGCACATAGTGCTAGTGGTATATCAACTCAATTTTGTATTAAAGATATGGCTGCGTTATTTGAACAAAAACATTAGCGTTTGTTACTAATTAATTTTTTTTTTTACATTTTTATATAGTAATATATTAATAAGTTTCAGTATGATATGTGATATATATTATTAAATACAATTTTATTAAACTAAAAACAGTATTAACTCTATAGTCTAGTTTATTAAAATATATGAATACAATTTTTTTTTTAAAAACGTGACAATTAAAATAAAAACCATTAAGGCAGTGTAATCTCAAAACAGAATAATTTAAACAAGTGTTATATTGTAAGGTATTATATATAAATACACATTATATTATTAAAATTTTATATCACATTTAATTTTAATTTTATGTTAATTTGTTTATAAACTTACTAATTCTGTGATACAACTAAAGTAGTCTGTATATCAGACTTAATAAGCTATTTAAATAATATTTACTTATTACATTTTGTAAATTAAAGACAAATTTAGTGAAACCAAACATTTTCTTTTAATTTTCTTTACAATTGTCTTTACAGTTTGATTTTTATCAAATTCTATACAAGTTTGATATGACATTCTTTTTGTTAATATTTGTTTAATTCAATGATAAAATGTTTGTTACAAGTAACTATTTTTGTTATTTTATTTTTGTTTTTTTTTATACATTTTGTTTTTTTTAATTTTAACGTTATTGCAATAAAATACTTATTTAAAAATAAATTAACTTTTAATTTGGCCAAAGAGTATTTTGTAGTCGATTATAAATAATATACTATTTTGACATAAGACAAACTCTCAGAAACTCACCAGAGTCAATAAAATATTTTACTATTATATAGTATTAATAATAATAATAATATGAATAGTTAAATTAAGATTATGACATTTTTTTTGTACATCTTCTATCTTATGTTTTATTTTTTTTATTTTTTTTTTAACCAAAGTATTTCATTAATGGTTTATTGCTATTATTAATTTTAATTTATATTCCTTTTCATTATAATATAATAATTATTATTTTATTATCATAATATTAATTATGCTGTGTAATAGTGTGTTCATTATTAAATATTATGATGTTTTTGTTTTTATAAACTACCATGACTACTGAGGAAAAAAATTGCCAGTTTTATATTATTATTTAACTTAATTTAGTTCTAATATTTTATTTATGTACATAATTTGACAAATAAATACTTTTGAAATATTTATATATATGTACACTCACTAATTTTTATTATTAGTAAAGAATGTCTACAACACAAACTATTAAGTAAAAATATTAGAAATTTTAATTTTTCTCAGCTTAGCAAATTAAAGTACTAATTTGCTAATTTTATTTTTTTTTTTCTTTAAATGTTGGAATTGAATGTTATCCATTTGTTACACAATTAATGTTTACTAACATGTTTATTTGTAAAATGTAACTTTGAAATATTACCATTTAGTGTTACATTAAAACAATTATTAGTATTTCGGATACCAAAAGGTAGCAAAAAGTAAATAAGTATGTGCTTCTTATTAGATATTATATTAATTTTCATTATCAAGTATTGTAAATGGAAAATAAGGCTTCTAGCTTAATGAATTAACAGAACTTTTTATTTAGCCTTATACTATTTGTTATACAGCTTTATGCACAATGATAAGTAATAATGTAGTATAAAACATATTATTAAGATTTTATTTATAATTTTATTTTATACATTATATATGTACTAAAATGATTAACAAGTGTAATGCTAATGTTATTATGTTTTATTTTATTAATTAAATAACAAGTTAATACAATTATTTAATTTACATTTTAATACTTGCTACTCAAAAATATAATAGAATAAAAATAAAATTGTTAAATACCAACATATTTAAAAGTTGTACATTTTAATAGTGACCTACTAAGTATTAAAAAATACTTGAAGAGAGGAGTGCTATATTACTCTTTTTGCCCTCTGTAAATGGGTGGATATGCCACTGCAATACAATACTATAATTCAAAAATAAATAAGTCATAACCTCACAAAATGTTGTAATAAAATATACATACTAGACTCGGTGTTGGGCGTAATCGTAATCATAATTACGATTACCTATAATCATAATCATAATTACAATTACGATTATAATCATAGAATTTTTAAAGTGTGATTCCGATTACGATTATAATCACAGGCCCCAGAGATATGATTACGATTACGATTGTAATCACAGCCCGGAGATATGATTACGATTACGATTACACTTATGATTATGATAACAATTACATTCATAATCCCGGATTTGATTATGATTACACTCGTAATCACAGAAAAAAGTATAAATACAGCCGTAATCACAGAAAATAGTTGTGATTTTTTGGTGAAATCACAGGGTAAATCTGTGATTACGGCATTAAATAGTTATTCAAGTTATATTTTAGGGCTTTTTTTTTGTCACAATACTATATCCTTAAAACTCGATCTCAATAATTTTAATAGAACTATTATGCTCTTTTTTTAAAAATGTATTAATATAAAAAAAAAAAACGTAAAATTTGAATTTGGCGCTATTTTTTCTAGAATCGGTTTTGGCTACACTGACCCGTTTTGTTTGATTCTTCCATGAAAAGCATTCGCCATATTATTATTTGTTATACTTTTTGATTACATTTTTTATTTTTCCATTGAAATAAAATTTATATGTCGGCGAATATGGTCGAGTAAGTAGTGTCTACACTCTACCTGCTGCCGTCTGTGGACTGTGAGTAATTATTTTTTATTAGTAGCAATTACATTACATAGGTAGATTGGTAAAGGTTTTGAGTGTATTTTATAATCGCGAGTTGTGACTTGCGATCCCAGTAGTTTTGTTGCCCTTTGGATATTCCGTTGAATCTCGGTAGGTTTTTCAGATTGTTTGACATTGTTCTTTTCTTTGCTATCGGCAACACCTTTTCATACAAATACAATAATAATATATTGTTGTTTCAATAGTGTATTAGTGCCATATATGTGTGGTAGTAAACAAATCAACGAATTTAATAAATCGTAAGTAATCATAATAATATAAAGTGTGGTAATTGTACAATGGTTTGTTCTAATAACACTGTTAAATATCCAGTGAGAAATGTCAAGAAGCAAGAGCCGTAGTCGTTCTAAGAGCAGAAGTCGCAGCCATTCGCGCAGTCGTAGGGCATCACGCAGCTATTCTCGAAGCCGTTCGGGATCAAGTCGCAGCCGAAGTCGTAGCAGAAGCAAGACGCCAGTCGATAAACATCGTCTCCACGTCAGAGACATAGGTAATAATATTGTAGACATACCTTTCCAAATTCAGGTACAATAAATATTCATTACGAATTTATAAATTATATAATATTTAACATAGGACTTAAATTATGAATTTTGGTATGTATAAAATTGTGTGAATTATTGTATAATATAAGACCTTGAAAATACTCAACCTAACTTATCAAATCTACATAATGATGAGTATTATATAATCATATATTAAGTGTTGCAAACTATACAAATATCTTTTTAATTCATAAAAAGATTCATAAAGTTTTTTCTACAATATTTTAACTATTGTTAGTTTGCAATGGTAAGAGATAGTCAAATTTGTTTTAAGCTTTTTTTTATTAAGTTAGATACAGAAAACAACACATGGTACAAATTCCACATTTGATACATTGTTTATCATTTATATTATACTATTAACATTAATACGCCCATTTATTTTCAATTATTATTAAAAACTGAAAAAGTGCCTTTTAAGTCGTATTAATTATCTTTTTAATGAATTTCATAAAACTTATAATAGGAACCATTTGTTTAAATAACAATCCAAGTGTATACTTATTTTATTAAAACATTCAATCTTATAAGTTATAACTAATATTAAAATTTTCCATCCCTCTCATTCCATTCATTAAATTATTTATCATATTAATAAAATAGCATTATGCAAAGTACAAAGGTTTTAAAAAAAACTATTGTCTGAATTTAGTATACAAAAGTACAACTCATTGATACCATCTTTTATGTTCTAAAAATATACTTCCTATGTTATGGTAGTTGAACGCTACCATGATACGTTTTAACAATTTGTATGTATATATTTTTTAAATGTAAATTTTAACACTACTATAAATTAAAATAAGTATTCTAAAAATATGCATTACGTTTCATGTGTTACACATTTGTTAGCTAAACGATTTTCGTGAATCATGCTCTAAACAAATCAAATGTGTAATGGTTGTTTTCTGCATAACACCATTCAATTTATCTTCCAGTTTGTTAATGATGGTGTGTTGATTCACTGAATGTAGGAAGCAGCATAACAAGACGTGATATCGAAAAAGAATTTGAGCGGTACGGCACATTGCTTGAAGTATGGATGTCCAGAACCAGACCAAGTTTTGCATTTGTCGTATACAAGAGGGATAAAGATGCAACAGAAGCACAAAAACGTACAAACGGAATGTAAGCCATAATTGTTATAATATATATTATCATAAAATTAAATATTATATAAAATCAAATTTTATAATTCTCTTCTTATTTAGGGAGTTGTATGGAAGTTTTTTAACTGTAAGTTTTGCAAAAACACGTGGGCTTAGTCGGAAATCATCAAGAAACAACAGTTACCGCGATTCTCTTAGATGCTACTCTTGTAACAGAGTTGGTCACTTTTCACGCTCCTGTAAAGAAGTTAACTATGGTTACAGGCGTTAAGGTAATGTCAACTTAAATGAAGTATTTAAAACATTGGTATTTTTTTTTTCGACATGTAATTTTAATATTATTTTTTTTAGTTGTCATTGTACTTTTAAAAAATAATACTAGTTTAAGTAGTGAAATATGAGAAATTATAATAAGAACTAAAATCGAACTATAAATTTAAATATTGTTTACGGCTTGCGAAATCATAACAATCTTTATATACTGTGCTATGACTTAATAAAGCTTAATTTGTTATTTTATATTATTAGGTCCTAAAATGTTAAATATATAAGTATACAGTAGAGATACAATTGTTATTATCTTGCTTAAATGCACATCCTACATAGCTAGGTGGGAAAAGAAAAAGATTTTTTTGTACTTTAACTGTTTTAAAATTATGCTTTAAAAGTGATGTGAAATTTAATTGTTCATTCACAATAAAGCACAAAAGCACTGACATACCTTTAAATTTAAATTCAATTAACTTTGTACTTTTAGATATTTAACATTTTAACTTATGATATTTCTTTTATAAAATACTTGTTTTAGCATTTGGTGTTGGTATTTTCAAGAAATAGTTATGCATGCATTATTTGGTTATAACTTATTAT